AGATTGCTGGGGGAAAGAGGCTGATTCTGTAAACTGCTTAGAGATGGCTGCAAAGCACTGCGAAGCGGTATATAAGTCTAAGTGCTATTGATATTGCTAATTACTGTTCTGATTTTCAGATGCTATTTCTCAAACTAGCAATCATCACATTAGCATACATGTCTCTTATGCATCTACGCTGATTTTGGCTATTTTAATATCTTGGGTGCAAGAGAAGGAGTGGCAAGAACAATCAGTCTAGAATCACCACGTAGCTGCAAATGAAATAAGCCCAACCGTCTCTTGACTGCCATTGACTGCTATCTAACTCTAACCAAGTGCTAACCATTAGCTGAAAAGATTCCAGCGCATAGCCTTTTAGTAATAAGTCAATTAATTTGAACGCTTCACCTGTGAGCCTGGTCATTCACTCCTGACATTAGCTAAGTTCCAAGCACATCACCATTATCAGAATCATTGCTGTTACTTTTAAGAGTATGATTAACATCACCTTGTACGATTAAGTACTTTAAATGCTAAATGGTCCCATAACAGTTTAAAAAAAAGTGCATTGTGTGGATGCACTGGCCAGAAGCAGCGATATCTGCCTGAAACTGTTCAGTGACCTGGTTTTCTAGGACAAGTTTTAACAAATAACTACCAGTGGATTAATATGTAACACAAAGCTATAAATGAAGGCAGACAAAACTGCAACTGAGTTCGCATTATATCTGGTTCTAGGACACCGAGCATAGCTTCTCTGTAATTAGGGCAGATCTTTTACAGGTCGTCCTCAACTTAAAACAGTTAGTTTAGCGACCATTCGAAGCACTGAAAAAAAAGACTTATGACTGTTTTTCACACAACCATTGAAGCAGCCCCCTTGGTCACATGTGATCAAAATTCGGATGCTTGGCAACTGGCATGTATTCATGGTTGCAATGTCCTGCGGTCATGTGCAACCTTCTGACAAAGTCAGTGGGGAAGCCAGATTCATTTAACGACGGTGTTACCAACAACTGCAATGATTCCTTTAACAACTGCAGTGATTCCTTGGTGTGGCAAGAAAGGTCTTAAAATGGGGCAAAATCCACTTAACAGGAACAGAAATGTTGGACTCAATTGTGGACGTAAGTCAGGGACTACCTGTAGTCTTAATGATTCAGTGATGTTGCTGGAGTAGGCAGATTCATTTGTTTTAGTTCAGGAGGAGGAGGAGGAAGAGGAGGATAATACGGTTATCTCCAGTTTGAGAGGGAAAAACGCACCACTGAATTCTGGTGGTACAATTCAGAGAACAGTGAAATGGTTACCAAAGGCTGATATGTAGAGGGGTAGTACTGCTTTATAAAGCCTTGGTAAGGCCACACCTGGAATACCGTATCCAGTTTTGGTCAACCACATTGCAAAAAAGATGCTGAGACTTTGGAAAAACTACAGAGAAGAGTAACCAGGATGATTAGGGGACTGGAGACTAAAATCATATGAAGAACGGTTGCAGGATTTCGGTTTGGCCGGTCTAGAGAAAAGAAGGACTAGAGAGGACATAACAGCAGTATTCCAGTATCTGAAGGGCTGCCCCAAAGAAGAGGGAGTCAAGCTATTCTCCAAAGCACCAGAAAGCAAAACAAGAAACAATGGATGGAAACTAACCAAGGAGAGAAGCAACCTGGAACTAAGGAGGAACTTTTTAACAGTGAGGATAATGAACCAGTGGAACAGCATGCCTCCAGAAATCGTGGGTGTTTCATCTGGAGGTTTTTAAGAAGAGACTGAACAGCCACTTGTCTGAAATGGTACAGGATTTCCTTCTTGAGCAGGAGATTGGACGAGAAGACCTATTCCCGTCCAGCTCTATTCTGATTCTTTCTGCTAAGCTACCTTAGATCTTAACTATCTTGTTCCTTAGCCTAATGTATGAATCAGCAAGCAGGTTTATCTATGTCCAGTACAAGGGATGAGCTAAATCTTAATTTACCTACCGCACAACTAAGCAGCAATCAAAATTCAGATTCTCTACGTAGAATTTTTTTTTAAAAAGGAAAGATCTCAATAAATAACAAATGAGCTCAGAAAGAAGTAACGGGTGAACTGTGTTTTGCATGAAAATACATACGCACACAGAACTTTTGACAACCTGGAACGAGACTTTGAACACCCAGAGAGTAATTACATTTTAAAAATTCCATAAACGTCCAGCAGTTGCGATATACTTCAAACTACAAATCAGAAGCAGTAAGGATTTAATGTGCTTTACTATGGTCCAAATATAAGAACACAATCTCATGATCTCAAGCCACGTTTCTTAGTCCTTTCTAACTATTTCCCAAAGTTCCATGAGCGAGTTTTACAATTATGAACCTTCAGAATTTTAAAACGGTTTAATACACACAGAGAAGAGTAAAAAATCCACCACTGCATTGCAAGTGCATTGTCAAATCCTACTTATCACAAATGATTTAGGCAACTTCTGAAATTCCAATTTTAGCCGTCAATGTACTTTGGGTACAAACCAAGCCTGAACTTGCAATCTCACCCATTTTTAGGAAAAGATCTTTCTTGGAAAGCAAGTAGCAAAATATCCATTTGGCTCAATCACTGCTAAACATCTCGACACTAGGGGGAGTACAATAAAGGGAAGAAAATTATCTGGTGTGAAGATCCTGAAGCAAAAAAAAAAAAAAAAAAAACACTCCATCTGAACTAAGCCTTCAGTTGTTAGGGAAACATAGAACACAGCTGCTTATCTTCCTCTGAAACCTGTTTAAATTCATTTCCTAGGGACTGGCGACACTAAACTAGGGAAATGAAATTAAAATGTGATTTATTTTTTATTGGGGAAAGCCAGAAACTTTAATTCAGCATAGGGGTGGAGAATTAGATAGTAGGTCACAAAGGTCTACTCCTTGGTACTGCAAGAACTCGATCGCAGAACCATCAGTTTTGAGCTAGCAGGACCCGCAAGAGAGATCGACGCATGCTAAGATTTCCAAAAAAGGCAATCCCACCATTTAAAAATCCAAACCCACTGCTTCCCCCCACCACCACCACCTTATATGTCTATGGAGATTCTCAGTCATCCAGGTCAGGGTTGTCAACAAAATATGATAGACTTGCTGGGCCATGCATTGTGCAACCAAGTCACATAGTGTAATAAGATTGGGACTGAGTTAGGGGCCCTTCTGTTCTCACTGTGAGTTGGGGGGGGGGGAGGAATGCACGAAGGGAGGCTCATCCCATCTCATTGTACACATGTTCCATTCTGACAATAAAGGTAATAGTAATAGTCCCAAAGGTGCTTTTTTTCCAAGAGGCAACTGGACTTTCTTGGTTTTTCCTTGAAGACATTTCGCTTCTCATCCAAGAAGCTTCAATTCTAATTGAATGGTGGAGGATGGAAGGATTTATTTCCTATAATTATCTCTACCAATGTGGGGGTGGCTCTTTGGCCCTGACTACAGGGAAACTTCACAGACCTTCCTTCCAACTGGATCGGCTTCTTTTGACACCAAGGAGCCCCATTCCTAATTCTGCCTTAATCTAGCTTCATTTCTCATCACTGGATACAGAAACACTGCCCCTCCCCGCCCAAAAAGAACCCCTCCTCTATTTCTGCCCCACTCGCCCTGTCATATGTTTGGGCTCCATAACAAACTCAAAGGGCTTTTTTTTTCTTTCTTTCGCAGGGACACGTTGCCTTTTGCCTCTCAAGATACAAAACCCACCAGGTTTGCAACCGAACAAGGAACGCTTTGCCTCCCGAAGTTGCGTGTATCTCCATTCCTGGACTGCCAAGTGTCCGAAATGGGACGGGGTCTCCCGCTTGAGCCGAGGATTGGACTAGATGACCTCCAGGGTCCCTTCCAGCTGGATTCCGAATCGGAATCCTGCAGTCGGGAGGCACCCATCGGGGGGAGCGAGGCAAGGGGGGGGGTCTGGGCAGAGAGGGGGTGGGATCGGGGAGGGGGGGGGGGGACAGTTTGGCTGGATCCTCGGAGAGCCACCTGGAGGGGCTTCGGCTCCTCGGAGGAAGGCAGGGCGGGGAGAGGACCCTCGGACCAAAGCCCACTGCCCCAGGGATGTGGAGCCTGCGGGGGAAAGAGAACGAGGGCCCCCCGGAGGAAAAGCGGGGATCGTTTCACCGCTAGCTCGTTCTGCTCTTCGGCGGGGGATTCATTCGTGCCTTTTGACCCACCTGGGGACCCGTAGGCGGGCCCCATCTCCCTGCAGGCCTTGGCCGCTACTTACGTCAGCTCAGGGACGGACATACGCGCGGGGTTCCCTCAGCTGCTTCCGACCTCTTCGCCGCCGCTCCTGAGGCTGGTGGTGCTGCTGCTGTTGCTCCGGCTGCTACCGCGGCCGCCGCAAGCGGCTCCTCCTCCGGGCTCGGCCTCCTGGACCAGGGCCAACCCGGAAGTGAGGGAAAGGTTAGCCTACTTAAGCCCCGCCCCCATACAGCAAGAGGCGGCGCTGATGTCACTTCCGGTCTCGTTCGCCGGAAGACGGCCGCGCTTCCGGTTTTCTGCCAGCTGGCGATAGCTGAGGCGGATTTTCAACCGAGCCGGAGGGGGAAGAAAAAAAAAAAGTAAGAGTGCTTAAAACCCCAAGACTCCCCACCCCTGATTTCTCCCCTTCATCCTAATCAGGGTCGCCTCAGCTCGGCCGGCCCACTGAGGAAGGGGGAGAAATGGTGTTCGGGGTGGGTAGGGAGTGAGTGGGGGTCTCTGCCTGGCCACTAGCGACGCGTGGCTCTGAAGGGAAGGAGAAAGGCGATTGGTCAAGCTGCCGCTCACGCGCCCGGCCTTTGGCGGGGTCGGCGTTCCGATTCGGCACGCGCCGCGCCGCGATTGGCTGGGTTGTTTGTGACGTCACGGAGCGTGACGCCGGCGGGGGCGTGGGAGAGGCGACGAGGAGCCGGACGAAGAAGCAGGGCGGGGGGAGCAGGTAGAGAGCTGTGGAACGACCTGCCGCCTTTCGAAAGGGGCCTTTAATAATAATAATAATAGAGTTGGATGGGACCTTGGAGGTCTTCTAGTCCAACCCCCTGCTCGAGCAGGAGAGCCTATTCCAAGTGTTTCTCAAAGCTGGCTGGAGAATTCTGGGAGTTGGAGTCCACCCACCTTCAAATGGCCTTGCTTGAGAAATAATGCCCTATCTATCATTTCAATCCAATGGAGTGGTGAGGTAGCCAAGAGGTTTGGACTTCTCATCTCACAATCAGGAGGCTGTGAGTTCAATCCTGGGTAGAGGCAGATATTTCTCTCTCTGGGCACAATGAGAATATGGCTGCTGGGGTGGAGGGGGAAAACCCTGCATTGGTGACAGGAAGGGCATCCGGCCATCTAGCCACACTCTGCTAGCTCTGTTCAGTTACTCAGATTATGGGCAACTGAATCAAATCAAAGGCCTCTACAATCTCTTCTTTAAAGCCTCCAGGGAAAGCTAGGATTCAATGGGGAACAGCAAAAGGGTGGTGGTGGCAAGGACTAGGCCCCACTTCCCTTTGCACCCACTAAGGCTCAGGTGGTGACTTGGAGCAGCCAGTCCCCACTAGGAAATCTTGTCTGTGCTTCGGTATAAACAGAGCAAACAAAAATACAGGTGGTCCTCAAATTACAACCACAATTTAGCCGAAAGTTTATGTTGCTAAGTGAGACCTTTGTTAAGTGGGTTTTACCCCTTTTTGCAACTTTTCTCCCCATGTTTATTAAGCAAATCACTGCAGTTCTTAAACCAGGAACACAGTTTTTAAGTGAATCTGGTTTTTGACTTTGCTTGTTAGAAGATTGCAAAAGATGAATAATCACATGACCCTGGGGCACTGCGACCATCATAAATGGGAGCCAGTGGTCAAGCGTCCGATTGTAAATCACGTGACCATGGGGATGCTGCAACAGTCGTAAGTGTCAGAAACGGTCGTGTCGCTTTTTTCAGTGCTCTTGTAACTTTGAACGGTCATTTATCAAACTTTTGTAAGACTTCCTGTATGCCTGTCACATCCCTCTTAAGTGGTGGTGCTCTTCATCAGGAGAGAAAATACCTCAGCAACTTTAATTCCCACACTGAATTATAATCCTTTGGCTGTCAAGGATGGATTGATTTTTAAGATGTCACAATAGTCTTCTGAAATTAAAAAAAATGGTAAAAGAAAGAAGTAACTATATCCACATAGGATGATGGTGAGTATACTTAATATCAGACGAAATTACAATCTAAAAACAAGCACAAAACAAACTTTAAAAAAGGAGAGAGTAATAGATTATAGTGATAGATTTACAGCTCTTTCTAAGTGCTTTATACTAGAGTCAGGATCTTGCCCCCAACAATCTGGATCCTCATTTTACTCACCTCGGAAAAATGGAAGGCTGAGTCAACTTGAGCTGGTCAGGATCAAACTGCTGGCAGTCGGCAGTGTTAGCCTGCAATACTGCATTCTAAATACTGCGCCACCAGGCCTTTTGTATTTATACAGTAGATTTATATGGGTTTAAGGATTTATACAACAAATTGTTTCATTCATTATATTAATATGTAATTCTAATAGTGTCCATATCGGTAGTCCTTGATTTACGACCAGAATTGGGATCAGAATTTCTGTTCTAAACAAGGGGTTTTTAAACTGAATTGTGCCCAGTTTTCTGTCTTTTTTTCCCCATGGTTGTTAAGGAAATCAGTGCTGTTAAGTGAATCATGCAGTCATTAAGCACATCTGGCTCCATTGATTTTGCTTGTCAGCATCTGGCTGGGAAAGTCAGAAATGGCCATCACATGACCCTGGGACACTGCAATCATTATAAATACATGCTAGTTGCTAAATGTTCAAATTTTGATCGCGTGACCATGGGGATGCTGCAGTGGTCTTTAAGTGCGAGGATCAGTTGTGAGCAGGGGTGGCATTCAAATTTCTTAACCATTTCTGTGGGGGTGGCCTAATTTGTGGGGGTGGCTTGGTGGTCATGTGAGTGGATGGGCGTGGCTTATGTATAAATATTGTAAATATGTAAATATTTAATTTTTTATTTTAAAAAAGAACAACTTTTACCCAAAATCAGGCAAAGTAGGCAGGCAGATTGAGTTGCTCACAGAATCACAGATTCACTTAGAGATCTATCTATCTGCAATCTGCTACCTGAGTCTGCACTGAAAAATAGAAGCTTCAGTCCTAAGGAAGGTTCAGCTCTTCTTTTAGATTAGCTAGAAAGCAAGAAATGCAACCATTTCCTGCTTTCTAGCTAATCTAAATCTCCTGGCACAGCAGAACAGCTGATGGTCGGGGGAAAAAAAAGGAAAAATAGCAACTTAGCAGGCAAGTCTGATGGTGCGCATGCCAGGTAAGGAGTGAGTGGGCAGGGCGGGGCCAGCCAGTGGCACAATTTGCCAGTTCTATAGAACCAGTCCGACCTGGCAGAATCCCACTCCTGGTTGTGAGTCCCTTTTTCAGTGCTGTTGTAATTTCAAGTGGTCACTAAATGAACAGTTGTAAATGGAGGACTATATGTATAATTGTAAGGAGAATAGGTGAATATTTTTAGTTCAGGTTTGAAATGAAAACACCAAAGACCCCTCAGAATTAAGTACTTACTCAAATCTTTGCTAGCATTAATAAGATACAATGTTGTAACCAAAGGCATTCAAGGCATTTAGAATATTTGTAAATATTTTGTGACTGTCTTCTGTAGACATCAATGCTGAACTCCAATATGTTGTCATCTCTATTTTCAAGAGAGTTCAGCCAAATATATCAACATTGCATGTTCTGTTGGTATTCTTAAAGTTAAATTAATGAACAGGTAGTCCTCAACTGACAACCACAATTGAGCCCAAAATTTCTGTTGCTAAGCGAGGCAGGTAAGTGAAATTTGCCCCATTTTAGCAATTTTCTTGCCACGGTTGTTAAGTGAATCACTGCAGTTGCTAAAGTCAGAAATGGTGTCAGTAGGGTCTCCTGCTTGGGCAGCGGGGGTTTGGACTGGATGACCTACGAGGTCCCTTCCAACTCTGTTCATCTGTTAAAATTTAGTAACATGGTTATTAAGCAAATCAGGCTTTCCTGTTGACTTTGCTTGTTGGAAGATTGAAAAAGGTGATCTCGTGACCTCAAGACACTGCAACCGTCATAAATATGAACGATTTGCCAAGCGTATGAACTTTTAAATAAGATTTTTATTTTATTTTTAACTTGAACATATCATCTTCCATTAAACAGTGTGTCGTCTGCGTAGAAAAGTCTCTGCTATTACAATCAAAATGTACAATATTCGTGACATTGATAATAATTCTCTAATCTTACAATAATAATAGACATGATAACTATTCATTTCTCCCTCCTAACATATCTTCTAACGAAAATATATTAGCTATGGTAATCTTAACAATCATATATAATCATCATATTGTTTACCTCTCTTCACATATATTCTTTATTTCACTAATCTCCATTTATTTCTCATTTTTATTCTCCAACCATCCATAAAATAGCTCCCATGTCATATAATATTCAGTTTGTTCTTTCTCCAAATGTCTGAATTTTGATCACTAGACCCTGGGATGTTGCAACAGTCATAAATGTGAAAAATGCCCCAAAGTCACTTTTTTTCCAGTGCTGCTGTTAATTTCAAATGTTCACTAAGCGAACAGTTGTTAACTCAAAGACTAGTGGAATCTCCAAGCACAAAATAGGTTTAGACTAACAGATAACAGATAATCAGAGTTGGAGGGGACCTTGTAGGTCATCTAGTCCAACCCCCTGCCCAAGCGGGAGACCCTACACCATTTCTGACAGAGGGGAGTCCAATCTCTTCTTGAAAGTCTCAAGTGATGAAGCTCCCACAACTTCCGAGGGCAACTTCTGTTCCATTGGTTGATTGTTCTCACAGTCAGAAAGTTTCTCTTTATTTCCAGGTTGAGTCTCTCCTTGTTCAGTTTCCATCCATTATTCCTTGTCTGGCCTTCAGGTGCCTTGGAGAATAGCTTGACCCTTTCCTCCTCTCTGTGGCAGCCCCTCAAATATTGGAAGACTGCTATCCTGTCTCCCCTGGTCCTTCTCTTCACTAGACTAGCCAGGCCCAGTTCCTGCAACCATTCATCGTATGCCTTAGTCTCCAGTCCCCTAATCATCCTGGCTGCTCTTCTCTGTACTTTTTCTAGAGTCTCAACCTCTTTTTTATAATGTGGTGACCAAAACTGGGTGCAGTACTCTAGGTGTGGCCTTACTAAGGCTTTATAGAGTGGAATTAGTACCTCCCTTGATCTCGACTGAATCCCTGTGTTAATGCAACTTAGGGTTGCATTAGCTTTTTTGGTTGCTGCTTCACACTGCTGACTCACGAGGGCCAGAACTTAAAACTTTCCTAACGTTCCGACTTTGTTTTTCCTCTTCCTTCTCCAGATGAGCGATGGATTACCTGGCTAGGCCTGGGGTTTTTGGCTTAATTGCTGGCGTCACCTGTGGGGTATGCTTGGGCTGGAGCATACGAGCTCGGCTCTTCCGTCCAGCCAAATCCAGACTGACCATGATAGCCAACGAGCTGGGCGACGAAGCCAGCATCATGGGCGAGTACGGAGAATTCAAGATGGTGATCATCGTCCGGAATGACTTGAAGATGGGCAAGGGCAAAGTAGCGGCCCAATGCGCCCACGCTGCTGTTTCGGCCTATAAGCAAGTCCACCGCCGAAATCCGGAACTTCTGAAGCAGTGGGAATATTGTGGACAGCCCAAGGTCGTCCTCAAGGCGCCTGACGAGGAAGCTCTGGTTCAGCTCTTAAACGAGGCCAAAGGGCTTGGCTTGATTGTGAGCTTAATCCAGGATTCCGGCCGCACACAAATAGCGCCAGGCTCCCGGACTGTTTTGGGCATTGGGCCTGGACCGGCTGAGGTTATAGATAAAGTATCTGGTCACCTGAAACTCTACTGAATGTGAAGTTCACAGCGTAAAGAGGGTGAAATCGAGGGAATTTATATAAAATGCATAAAAAAAACAAAAAGAGAACAAGCCATCTCCCTCCCGAGTCCCTTCCTCAAACAGGAATTATCAAGTGCAATCCCGGATTATTTTGTTTCGTTAACGCATGCACACACAAGCACACTGGCGTCCCACATATCTTTGCCTAGGCTGTGTTTCCCTGTCACCGGTTAAACAGGTTTGTGTTTGCGCAAATACAAAAGCAGTGTACACTTTTCTCTGACTTTGGATTTCTCTGAAACACTTGAATCAAACCTTTTGGAAATCCAGTGGAGGAAATGCTCAGTTAAGATATGGCAGGCATCCCTACAAAACTTTCCAAATAAATGAAATTACACGGACAGGAAGGATATCTTTGCATCCTTTTGACATTAACTTTTTAAGTGTCTTCTAGGCAAACTTTTAAAGATGGCTTGAAAAGCTGCAGCTCCCAGCAAAGCCATTGATTTAAATGCAATTGATCGTTAGGCATCTGGGGATTCTACAGCGGGTAACAGATTAACAGTTGGAAGAGACCTTGTAGGTCATCTAGTCCAACCCCCCCCCGCCCAAGCAGGAGACCCTACATCATTTCTGACAAATGGCAGTCCAATCTCTTCTTGAAAGTCTCCGGTGATGGCGCTCCCACAACTTCTGGAACCAAGCTGTTCCATTGGTTGATTGTTCTCACTGTCAGAAAATTCCTCCTTATTTCCAGGTTAATCTCCTTGTGCAGTTTCCATCCATTATTCCTTATCTGGCCTACAGGTGCTTTAGAAAATAGCTTGACCCCTTCCTCCTCCCTGTGGCAGCCCCTCAAATATTGGAAGATGCTCTCCTGTCTCCCCTGGTCCTTCTCTTCCCTGGACTAGTCATGCCGAGTTCCTGCAACCATTCATCGTGTGTTTTAGCCTCCAGTCCCCTCATCATCCTGGTTGCTCTTCTCTGCACTTTTTTTCTGGAGTCTCAACGTCTTTTTTATAATATGGTGACCAAAACTGGATGCAGTACTCTAGGTGTGGTCTTACTAAGGCTTTATAGAGTGGTATTACTACCTCACTTGATCTTGTGTCCCTCTGTTAATACAATTTAGGATTGCATTGGCTTTATGGTCCTCGACTTAACCACAGTCGAGCCTAAATTTTTTGTGGCTAAGCAAGTTAAGTGAATTTTGCCCCGTTTTACAACTTTCCTTGCCACAGTTGTTAAGTGAATCACTGCAGTTGAAGTTAATAACCCGGTTGTTAGGGGAATCTGACTTCCCCATTGTTTGCCAGAAGGTGGCAAAAGGGGATCACATGACCTTGGGACGCTGCAACCATTATAAATATGAGTCGGTTGCCAAGCATTTGAATTTTGATCACATGACCATGAGGATGCGGCAAAGATTGCAAGTTTGGAAAATGGTTGTAAGTCACTTTTTTCAGTGCCATTATAACTTCAAACAGTCATGAAGTGAACTGTTGTAAGTTGAGGACTACCTGTATTGGTTTAACAAACAATTTGGTTACTAGATTTATTTTCTGGGTTCGGACAATACATTAAATCATGAACTAACCATGCGGGCTGTTTGCAGAACACACTTAAGCTGTCAATTTAAAAGTAATGAACTTTTCACACCTCGAAAAAAAGAAGAGCAAGTTTGTGACTGAGCTGGTTTAAGTGTGCTGTGCAAATGCGGCTTGTGTCTCACAAGTGCTCACAGCCATGTCGGTTAGCCACCAGCCTGCATATACCACCGTTTGCAGCAACCTGCAGCTACATGACCACATTTTACTGTGGTTTTGCCCGAAACCAGCATTTACTCGTCTTTTTGGCACAGATCTCACTTAATGACCACTGCAAAAAGTCACCCAATTTAAGACCAACACAAATCACAACTGGTGGGCAGGTCCCATTATTTTTATAAGCCGAGAAGTACCTTTTATCTGTTTTTCTGTCTAAAAAAAGGGAAAACTACTACGCAAATGGTTAATTCCTCACAACAGGCATCCCACTTGGAAGCAGCTGCATCACCTGAACACATGATTGCAGTCACATCATCTCAAGAATGCCAAATGTTTCCCCAAGCCACAAAAGCTTTGGAGATCCTGAGATTTGGCCTCCGAAGTCCGTGTAATGTTTGTTGTAGGAATACACCCTGCAATCTGGGCACTCTTCAAAGACTTTAGTTATCGTGTTGGTACCTTGGTGCTCACCTGCTTTGACTCTCATTGAATTTAGCACTCAAACCACCTTGACAGGAAAATTTTGTCCTGGTACCCATCTGTTCTGACCTAGGCTTCCCCAAAATGCATTAAGCAAACCCTTTGTCCCAGAAAAAAAACCCTTTTATTATTAAACGAAGGTGAATTTCTTGCATTCACATTCAGCCAAAGGCCTGGCAAACAGTCTTTCAAGGGTGTAATGAGGAGCACAGACCTTATCTAGCTTGTAGAGCTGCCAAGTAAATATTTTCAAACGCAGGGCTGACAAGGAAGGACTCGGCACAGAGTCTCTGAGATGCACAGACAGATCTTCACACAGTTGCAACTAACAAATTGTTTCTTGCAAAAGCCCCCTCCCCTTTCGTTCCTCTTGTAATCCCTATGGAAGGGGTCCTTCACCATCTACCTGTGGCTTTACTCCCACGTCAACCCTTAGTTTGTAATTGTTCTTTTGGCAGCTCTGTGCATGTGCAGGCTGGGAACAGGCTCCAGCTGCTCCTTCGCCTCACTGCTGTCTGACTCTGAAGGCAGCTGACAACTGCCAGACTGCCCTGGCCCCATCTCTGCCTCTGATGCAGAGCCCTTGTCCAAGCCTTCCTCAGCCTCCGGGACTGGCCCGTTTTCCTCCCCAACCTCCTCACTGTCCAACTCTGCTGCCAGCTCTGCTAGCCACTGGCAGGCCACAACACTGTTTGTTTGGTACCCAACACACAAGCTAGAATTGGTTCCTGTCAGTCTACATGTGACTCACTACATTATTCCTTAAGTTAAAAAAATTTGTTTGGTACTCATTGTTTTTGATACTCCTCGTTCCTCCTGAACCAATGAACAATGACATACCACTGTACAGGTAGTCCTCAACTTATGGCCCAAATTGAGCCCATTTCTGTGGCTAAGTGAAATATTTGTTAAGTGAGTCTTGTCCCATTTTACGACTCCTTTTGCCACTGTTAAGTGGATCACTGCAGTTGGTAAATCATTAACACGATGCTTAGATGAAACTGGTTTACCCATCGACTTGGCTTGTCAGAAGGTTGCAAAAGGGGATGTCATGACCTCTGGACGCTGCAATCGTCATAAATATGAGTCAGTTGCCAAGCATTTGAATTTTGATCACGTGGCCATGGGGATGCTGCAATGGTGTTAAGTGTGAAAAAACGGTCTTAACTCACCTTTTTTCATTCAGATTGTAACTTTGGTCACTAAACGAACTACCTGTGTTAGATTTTTATCCTGCATTTAACACACACACAATACTTCCTATTTTCCTCACAACAACCCTGTGAGGTAGATAGGGCTGAGTGTGTGTGTGTGTATGTGGCCCAAAGTCACCCAGCTGGCTTTTTACATCTAATACAAACTAGAACTCACAATCTTCTGGTCATTGGCCCAGTCACCCAGCTGGCTTTCATAGGGTATGGCAGGCTTTGAACTAACCGTCTTCCATTTTTTAGCCTGGTGCCTTAACCACTACACCAAACTGGCTGTCACCCAACTCGTCGGCCAAGTCTAAATTCTGCAAAAGGATTTGGGTTGCTACAAGAAAGAGCAATTAGAGCCGCCACCCTCAACTTTCCAAGTATCTTGAGAAGGTAGCCTGGTTTTTGCTCACGGGGGAATAAGGCTAGACCAGATTCAAAATACACCGGCGGTTGCCGCACTGGCAACTGCCTCGGCTCGAAATATTTACACCAGAAAGCAACTGATGCAATCGCCTGCAACCCAAGTGGTGTGATGCGATTGTACGTTGAGAAGTTCCGTGGCCACCTCCAGCTTTTCTGACAAGGTGTAGAGAAACTGCACACACACACACACACACACACACAGCCCTCCGCTGCTTTCTTCCCACACACTAACTTATCACACAATTGTTCAGAAATGGAGTCTCCAGGAATGAGGCATCCTTATCTTGAAGGTGCCCCTTTCCAGATGTTGTCGAGATGACAACTCCCGTGCTCCACCAGGCCCTGTAAACGCTGGGGAGCTGTGGCTCTGTGCCATCTGCAGAGTAACTGCTTCCTTGTTTATTTGTCTTGAAAGCACGGAAGCATCTCCTGCACAGCTGAAGGGGGGAGGGGGGATTGGACAGTGCATCTGCCACACTTTCAATATATCTATAGACATCTGTGCATATACATGTTTGTGAAATGGGGAGGCGGAGTAACCTTGAGGAACAGGAGGAAAAGTCTCATAGGTACGTATGATGGATACGTGTAACTAACGGGCAGCAACGTTAGGAAGGAGGATGAGAAGCTGGAGAAAGACTGCGGCCTGAAGGACACAACTCAAGAGGGTGTGAAAAGTCAAGGCCAATGCCGGGAGAGGGGCTCCCGCAGATCCCGCTGGGAATGACATCGGTGCTCTCTGTCCAGAGAAGTGCACGGTGCAAGGAACAGTTAAGATCCCCCACAAACCCCCAGACTTCTGGTAGATTTCTTCCCCAAGTGAGGAAGAGTAGTCATAGGGATAAGAAGTGTGTGTGTGTAGCTCCCCTTTTTACAATCCTGTACTCCCTTAATTCAGGGTAGTCGGGGCAACAGGATGGAGCGAGCATTTACTGGTCAGATGCCCTTCTTGACGCCTACACAGAGTTCGCAGTTCTTGCATCGTAGGAGAGAAATTATCTGCAGCTATTTAGGATTGACTTCTCAACCTTCTGAGTGGGAGGTGGGCGTCTTCACCACTAAGCCAACACGCCAGTGTGCGTGTGCGCACGCGCAATACTAAAAATAATCCTGAGTCGGGGACAGAATTTGAGAAAGCGTCTCAGACAAAACCCTAATTTTCGCAATGGTAAAGGGGGCAAGGGGAGAGGGGGGGAGGAAGTCGGTGGTGGGATTCAAAAAGTTTTACTGCCAGTTTTGTGGGCGTGGCTTGGTGGGCGTGGCAGGGGAAAGGTTACTGCAAAATCCCCATTCCCTTCCCACCCCACTAACCTGCTTTCCAGCTCCATTCTCCTGTTCAGGGCAACAAAAGATGATCCAACCGATCAGCTGGGACTAGAAGGGATGGCCAGTCAGAGGTAGTTTTTCCCAGTTCTCTGAATTGCTCAAAATTTCCACCACTGGTTCTCCATAACTGGTCAGAACCTGCTGAATACCACCTCTGGAGGAAGCACATTTGGACTTTAAAGATTTGTGCCCGTAGCCTCCTAGGTAAAGGACTATTGACCTGTGTGACATTGATTTCCTAATCCGGCCTACCCCGGAGGATAGTTTCTGATGAGGTGGCAACAGATGCTTTCGAAGGCAGCGGTATAGGTTTGCTGAAGGATACGGCCATTTTCACCTTTCATTGAGAGGCAGTTTTGAATCCTCCCTCCCTTCAAATGCTTTTCTCAGAGCTGATCTCTACTGCCTTCAAATTGTTTAGCCATGCAGGTCTCTCCTGCACGAAACTTAATCCTTTCTAATTTGTGATATTCCCCGCCCTGTAGCCGACTTTAGTGCTAGGAAGGGCCTGGGATGAATTTCAACTAAATCCTAACTGCTTACTAACTCAAGTCCTCGACTCTCGACCAGAAATGGAACCAGAATTTCCGTTGCGTAAACAAGGTGGTGATGAAGTTCACACCTTACTATTACTTTTGTCACAGTTAAGCAAATCATTTCACGTGTTAGCTGCTAAGTGAATCTGGCTTCCGCCATTGGTTTTGCTTATCGGAAGCTGGCTGGGAACATCGTTCACATGACCCTGGGATGCTGCAATCATCACAAGTACATGTCCAGTTGCCAAGACCTCAGATTTGGATCACATGACTCTAGGGAAAGACGTAACGGTTCCAGGTGTGAGGACCATTCTTACGTCACATTTTTCAGTGCTGTTGTAACTTCGGTCATTCAGCGAATGTAAATCGAGGACTACCCGTCCATGCAACGGATACCCCCCTTTTATTAAATCTCATACCTGTTGGATCCACATGAAATCTGGAGCTCTCATTCCACCCACAGGAGGCCATTTGCATTGAGTAAACAGGACACTAATTCAAAACAGCTTTGAACATTTAAAGTCAAATTTTATTTCGAAGCTAAATATATTAAGGCAACTTAACATACCTATAACATGATCTTTTGTCAGATTTAAAACTGGAAACACTCAAAACTACAACCCTAAAGATTTTTGTTTTGTTTTGCTTTGTTGTGTTGGGAAGAAGAAAGCCTTTCAGAGGCTCAGGCCCAGCTGCGGGCTTGAAAAAGTGCCATCGATTTTTCCTCGTTTATAGCTCCAAGCATTTCCCATTCATCTCAAGGAATCTCCATCAGTGCAAGTCACCTGTCCAAGATCCACTCCACAGTCAGAAGTTGGGAAAAAAAATTGCTAAGTTGCTAGTTCCTGCTTTTGGACCTGAAGAACACTGCCAAACTTTATATTTATAAATATTGGTAGTTTTGTTTTATTTTGTTGCTTTGAGGCCAAGCGCATACATTATAAAGGAGTTTGAAGACATACATACTGAAAAACTACTATAGAGGATATCCACAGTCCAGTCATTTATTATCATTTTTTTTTCCAATTTGAGTCATATTTTTTTTTTCAATTGCACAAGCAAAACCGAACCAACCATTGGGGTTTCCCAAACGCCCCCTTCAATTCTCTCTCTCTTTCTCTCTCTCTCTCTCTCTGTCTCTGTCTTTCTTCTGTACACTCAGGGGAGGAGAAGGGAGAGGGGGAAGTGATTTGGAAACACCACAATATCCAACATACACAAATTGGAGAGCGAGGTTAGTCAGAAACACGCAAGATTGGATTTATGGTGCCCTCCCACACCCTTCCTGCGTCTTGTTCCTCAAGTGGAATATAAAATGGTCCCCACAAAAAGAAAAAAGCGCACTAGCACAACGGAAGGATCGGTGGGATTTACACACGGAGTGAGCAAAAACACTGGCGTTTTCTGTACATCTAAACTGGAAACCTGCATAGGTTTAAATGGAGCCTCTATTAAGTGGGTCGTGTTTTGTTTTGTTTTAAATTCAGGACAGGTTTTCGGTATGTTATCTGCGAGCTCTCTCTCTCTCTCTTTCTCTCCAATTTTACTGATTTCAAGAGCCAAGCCATCCCAAAATTTTTCCTTTTAGTGTTTCAAATGCACCAACTCAATAAATCTTCCTTTCACCACCTCTGCCCCTTCTGTTCAGAATATGCCACTTGTTAAAACATTGGGCGGGGGGGGACGGGAGACGGGGACGGACGACACACACTTACAACCTGCTCATGGACCCCGGACCGAAAGAGACCGGAACGCTTTTTCCAAGAGTGCAAATGGGAAGAGAAAGCTGGGGTGAGGGGTGGGGGATTTTTCATGTCAGAAGCAATTTTGCAAAAAATAAAAAATAAGGGTTGGTGGGTGGGGAGAAAAGCCTGCTGGAACATTTAAAAGTATTCCCACCGGAGGGGTGGGGTGGGGTGGAAGATGTGGAATGTGAAGAAAGAGGGAGTTGGCATTTAGGGAAGGAGGGATCTGGAGAGCTTGCGGGAAGGAGGGAAGGAAGGAAGGAAGGGAGGAAGGGAGGGAGAGAGGAGGAACAAACAGAAAAACACAAGTCCTTCATAAAATAAATGTTACGAGGACACAAGGTTTGTTTCTTTTGTTTTCCCTGCGGAGTCAGGCGTGAGAGGGATGGTGGAGGTTCCACAAAAGGATGCTGGCTCCCCGCTGGCTTCCTTACATGCTGTATCCAAACCCGGGTTGGGGTTGCCCGTACGGAGGTGCGGTGTAGCCGTAACCAAAAGGTGCTTGTGGAGGGACCGCCACGCTGGGGCCAGCCGTCAACATGAGCTGGGGCTGACCTAAGGAAGGAAAGGAAAGAAAGACAACGGAGCAAAGGGGTTAAAAGCGCTGTGTTTTTAAGACTAGGCCCCATTCCTGAAATTTTGACAGGCCGAGATTCCCTCCCTGCAGAAACGCTCCCGGCCCAAGAGGCCAGGCGTGGAAATGGCCGCACCAAAGCATTAAACGGAAGCCCACAATCTCCACTGTTGGTCTGGAGGGCGTTGCACAAAGCAACCCCCCTGAGAATGTGTGGCACAGGGGATGTGGGCTAACTCTGCCCACAGTCTGGAGTTCAATCCTGACCGGCTCAAGGTTGACTCAGCCTTCCATCCTTCAGAGGTCAGTAAAACGGAGGAGCCGGATTTTTGAGGGCAATAGGCTGACTCTGTAAAACCGCTTAGAGAGGGCTGTAAAAGCACCGTGAAGCGGTATATAAGTCTAAGTGCTCTTGCTATTATTACTTCTCGTTCCTCTTCTATGTTCTGCCTAATGTTCTCCATCTGAAAGGGAATAAGGGGGTGGTTGTGTGAATTGCAAGCAAAGGGCAGGCTTACCGTAAACGATGGGCTGGGTCTCCGTCGCCTGCTCTTCCTCTTTCCTCAGCGATTCTGAGGCATCCAGCTTGTCCACCTAGGAGAACAGAAGAACCCCAAAGATCAGGAGAAACCACCTGGCTACGATTCAGCATCCTACATTTGCTGGCAGAGAAGTGGAAAAGCCTTCAGGGGGCATGAAACACAGTCAGAGAAAGGAAATCACTGACAAAATAAAAAAAATAAGAAGGAACCCAAGTCGGGGAGGGGACTGTCGGCGGTCTAAACGGGCCACCGGATTTGCAGGAGGTGTCCAAGAGGTTCTCCTGAAGAGCCTTCCGCGTGGGGGGGGGGGGGGGGGTGGGGGCTTTCGCTGCTGGAGGGCTTCAAGCCTAGCTCGCACCTTGGGTGAAGAGATGGCAGGGAACCAATTGGGTGGGCCAAATTGACGTACCAAGTTCTGGGGAATTTGCTCAAGCCATCCAATCGCCTCGCCGTATCCCCTTTCCTTCTTCCCATCAAGCTTTCCCTGGTGTCGTTTGCACAGCTTTGACCCGAGCCAAGGGCAAGTGCCAGAGAAAGCAGGAAACCCAGGCACTTCAAATGTGTACAGGAGGGTTTGGGGCACGCTTAAGCTCTCTACAAGAATCCGAACTCCTAACGGCCAAAGCAAATGGGTGGGAGATAAGAATGAAAAGAATTCAAGGTGGGCTGGACTTCTGGTGGGCGCAAAGGGATTCGAGACTGATGACGTGCCTGACCCCGCCTTCAGGCTTTCTATAGCCAACCTGTTTTGCTAGCTCTCCTGGAAACCAGATCTTTAGGAATAGTGTTTCTCAACATTAGCAAATTTAAGATATGTGATTGACTGGGGAATTCTGGTAGTCGAAGGCCACACATTTTAAAGTGGTTAAGGTTGTGCAACACTGCCCTAGGGCATGAGAAGCACAGGCAGGGTGCTCTAAACCCTGGCAACTTTTAAGATCTGTGGACTTCAACTCCCAGAATTCTTCAGCCAGCATGGCTGGCTGAGGAATTCTGGGAGTTGAAGTCCACAGGTCTTGAAGTTGCTAAGGTAGGACGCCCCTGCTCTAAAGCCACCCAGTCATTTAGGTGAGATGTGCGATACAGGTAGGTAGGAATGAATGCATGAATGGACAGAACAAATGGAATGAATGAATGAAATGAAATGTGGGAACTATCTCATGCAGAAATCCCTCTTCTAAGCACAGCGATTTTCAACTTAAGGACAAAAAGGCTACTGAGGTATTTTAAATTAGCATTTAAGAGCATGTCACTTGTTAGATGGATGGTCAGCATGGTTTGACGGTAGTTTTATGCATCTGGATTTAGATCTCCCCATTTACACAACCACCACCAGTTCACTAGGCCGTAGGAGCCATTCCATACCTATTAGGAGAACGTAGGAGAAATCTTGCTAGGCTACAGATGGATCAACCCTCTTTTGATAAACCCTCTGAAAAGTAATGCTTATCTAGCTTTTCCTTGAAGACAGAAGTTCCTCCTGAACTCACAAACTTCCCCCCTTTCATCAATATAGCAAACTTTTTTCTTTTCCTAACCCTAACTTCTCCCCTCCCCCAAAAATGTGTTTTATTATGCTAAAGGTATCTACAGCAAGAAGCATTTGAAATAAGTCTTCGCAAAATAATGGCCCCTGAAACCAAAGCACAGAGCTCGCACGCACACACAAAACACACATCCACACGCACGCAAGAGAGCAGGTGAGTATGGTAGTCCTCGACGTACGACCACAATTGAGCCCAAAATTTCCGTTGCTAAGCGAGACATTTGTTCAATCAATTCTGCCCCATTTTACAACGTTTCTCACCACGTTCATTAAATGAATCACTTCCGTTGTAAATTTAGTTAACAACGGTTGTTAATTGAAGCTGGCTTCCCCCGTTGTCACGTCGTAAAAAAGGGATCACCTGACCCCGGGACGCTGTAACCGTCATAAATATGAGTCGGTTGCCAAGCCGTCTGAATTTTGACCATGGGACCGTGGGCATGCCGCAACAGTCGTAAGTGTGAAAAACAATCGTAAGTCACTTTTATTAGTGCCGTTGTAACTTCGAACATTCACTAAGTGAAGTATTGTAAGTTGAGGACATATCCAGTCAACCCCTATACCAGCTTTGTTTTTAATTTCGGTTCAGATCCTTTATTCCCAGAAAACCAAACATTTAGGCTGGAAAACCTGCTACTGCGGAGAAGGAAAATATCAGTGGAAAAAATGTTGTAAGGTGCTCAGAGGTAACGGTTCTAGATAAAAGGATGAAGCTAAGCAGGAGATAACCAGAGATCTTCCACAACTGCCAATTTGGCAGTCGTGGTTGCTGGTTGTTGTTGTTTTTCCCTGATGGCTTCGAAGAAACACCAGTTTTTGGGGTTGTTTGTTTTTTTTTAAAAAAGGAATCGACTAACAATCTGGTTTAAACCGTGGAGAGCTAGTACGCTCGATCGGAACCATGTCATCGGATGCCCTGCGGTTTTATTCATAACGGCAAACCGTTCCTTGTAAAAAGGAAAAAAAGAAAAGGCTTTTCCACGGAGACTGCAATGACTGCAGAAGGGAGAAAAGTAAAAAAAAAAAAAAAGGGAGGAGGAAAGAGAGAAAGAGAGAGAGAAAGAACGAAAGAAAGAAAAGAAAGGATGAAACCACATGCGGTCAATGCTAGAGGATTTGGTGTTCTATGTGCATGGAAAAAAGGCAAAGGAACTGAAGAAGCAAAGGAGTGAAGTTGGAAGATGGCGGCCAGACGCCTCCCTCCAGCCAGCCTTCCCCACCCCCCCCAACAGCCCCCCCCAAAGTTCACGGCACGCAGAAACAGCCCCCACCCCCCGCTGCGCCCGCTTTCCACAGCAATGCTTTGCAGCTTAGGGAAAAGTGAGATGTGTATCACAATGATGGCCGGACATGCTCAGTTCAGAAAAGCAAACACTGCAGTTCATGTACCTTTTTTTCACACCACACGGGCCCTGCCTTTGACCTGCTAGCTGCTGGAGGACTTTGGGGGCATTGGGTAAAAGTTGGCGCCCGGGCCGAGTCCAGACTGGTTTTGGGGGTGGGCAAAGGGCGGGCACGTTTTGAGTGAGTAGCCCAATTGACTGACGAAGAGGGAAGCGGCACATCTGCAGAAAGCGGGTGCTGAATTTGGGGGGAAAAATGCTATTGAGCGGGAAGAATGGCTCAGCTTTGGGGAAGTGGAGGCCTTGGCTCTGGCTTAAACCAGGCCTGGGAGGTTCTGGGGGCGAAGGCAAGACGAATTGATGGGAAGACCTGTGACCAAGGAACCCATGGGAAGAGCCGGGCCTTGGAATCAATCAACGGGAAGACAAGGGCCAGGCAATCAATTGACGGAAAGACACTAGGCCTTGCAACTGAAGGGACGATTCGGGCGCCTTGGAATCCATCCATGGGAAGACCCAAGCCTTGGAAAGCGACTCCTGCTGGGAACAGGAAGCAGCCAGACGGGACCAGAGAGGCAGGGGCCTGGCTGGTGTGATAAGAGGGGGTGGGTGGTGGGTCTCTAAGCAGCTAGCTCCTCTTAGCAAGACAAGTTAGTACGACTGTCGTGGTCACGGTCCTCTCCAGGGAGGGGAAAACACAGAGCATCCAAGGGGGAACCCAATCGCCGCCACGCCCCGCCCCGCCCCGCTTCAGGGAGAATCGCTTAAGCAACCTCCCCGGCTTTTCCCCGCTCCTCCTTTCTCGAGGTTTCTCGGGACAGGGTTAAAGGCCTGGGGTCCGGCGGGTGGTTTCTAACCTTCCTGGAGAGTTGGATGAGCCAATTAGTGTCTACGGTTCTGTCCTGTAGAGCTACGGCTCCGGTTTTTAACTTGCAGAGGCTTTTTTTTTTTAGTGAGTTTTTTTTTGTTTTTCAAAGGGGCGGGCAGAAAGCAGTAGCAGCAGTGTAGGGAAGGTAGAAAAAAAGGAAAACTAAAATAAAACAAAATAAAACTCATGCAGATATCCTTAAGACTTAGGCCTCCAGGCTTTAAAAAAAAAAAAAGATGGAAAAGAACCAACTTTCACCTTTTCCTTTATTGTATCAACCTGCAAAGGAATTCAGAAGGTGCAGCTTAGAGGAAAAAGAAATCCCAATATTTTTGCATTTTTTTAGAATTAACAGAGAGCAAGTAAAGGGGAGGGCAGGGAGAGGGGCTTAAAACTCAAAAGGCCGCCTTTGCTGCCGAAGTCCTTACGCTTCCACGGTTGAAGGGGTAACGTTACGCAAAGGACCAGCATGCAAAGAGAGAGGCAAACCTGGGGGTTAAAACTCCAAACTAGTGTGTCTCAACCTGGGCAGCTTTTAAGAAATATGAGGAATTCTGAGAGCTGCCCTAGAGATGTTAAAACCTGGAGCTATTTTGGGACCAGGTGGTAAAAGTGGTCGAAGTTTACCGTTTCGAAGGATATTTATTCCTGAATGATGCAGAGGTGATGCAGGCCCTTTTCTAACCCAGCGTTTCAGGAATGAATTTGGGAAAGAGGCTGGGTGTGGGGTTTGAGGCCACATAATTCGTATTCTTATTTAGAGCCCTTCGCGCTGGTCACCTAGTTATATTAGTTATTTCCTAAGTTTCAGCAGGCTTAACCATAAACCAGGCGCTGTCTGCTACTAATCCTATTCGAACACCCAAACTCAAGCTTTTTTAAGTGCCACAAGCTGTGGGTTAAACCTCTTCCGCTGTGCTGTCGGCTTTCGGGTCGTATTTCCTAAAGACAGATATTTTTTTTTTTACTCCCAGCCCAAACAAAATAGGGAAAATCCACCACACGTTTTAGAAACAATTCAGACTGCCCAAAACGAGGGAAAAACTTCTCAACTCTCATGTAACCTAGAATTTCCCTCTGTCAATCTGGGCTGTAGAGAGCTAGGCTTTCAGACTTTCAGGCCTTACCCCCCGAGCTGGCAGGATTCTCAATCCCCAAATTATGCCAATATGTTTGGAGTATTCAAAGTGCTTCATGTCTTCAATCATGGCCAGAAAATCAAAGCACGGCGAACGTCAAAGACTTGATCTACCCAGGCTCAGGATTTCCAGACTGGAAATCGATTGTTGAATTTCAGACTGTAAGAGTAGATTAGGATCCACTGTAGAGGACATCTCCATGCACAAAGTGTGCAAAAAAGGGAGAATTTGAGGGAGAAGCCCCCTTAAAGCCTAACAGCCTGGCACTTCTAGACAATGGCCCCACTCTCAAGCAAAGGGGATTCATCACCGCCACTTCTTCCAGCACAGGCAAGCGGAGGGCTGAAAGAGTCAGCAGGGGGTTATTTTTATCAGTGAACCACAGCTAATCATCCAGTGGTCTGTCGAGATTCTCACTCATATCCAGGTCAGGGTTGTCCCAAAGGTGCTTTTCCAGGAGGCAACTGGACTTGCTGGTTTTCCTTCGAAGACGTTTTGCTTCTCACCCAAGACTGGATGGTAGATGACTGAGAATCTCTACAGACTTTTAGCTATGCAATTTGGGATGAACATCCTTCAAATGGGGTCTGTGAGTATGAACGGATTTCCAGAGGAAAAACTGCAGACTACAGGAACCAGGAGCACCTCTCTCAGGTGACCCTGAGGACACAGAAGAACCTCCAAGTGGCATCAACGACTCCCAGTATGAATGCAAATGACCAGCTGTCTGCAAGGAATATGATTCCTTCCATTTACCACCATCCAGTCAGAGCTGAAGAAGCTGCTTGGATGAAAAGTGAAACATCTTCAAAAAAAACAAAAACAAAAACCCAGAAAGTCCAGTTGCCTCTTGGGACAACCATCCAGTGTCTCCAAAAATCCTCTTTCGGCAAGGACACGGAAGGCTTTTTAACAGGTGAGATTGGAAACTAACAACAGGGGCCCAATTCCAGTTTTACTGTCCCAAATTTGGCAGATTTACTGTGGCTGAGAGAGAGAAAATATAGGTAGTCCTCGCCTTACAACCTCCACTGAGCCCAGAATTTCTGTTGCTAAGTGAGATAATTGTTCAGTGAATTTTGTCTCATTTTACGACCTTTCTTGCCATCGTGGTTGAGTGAATCACTGCAGTTGTTAAGAGAATCCGGCTTCCCCATTGACTTTGCTTCTCAGGAGGTTGCAAAAGGGGATCACATGACCCCCCCCCAAGGACATGGCAACGGTCATAAGTATGAATCAGTTGCCAAGCGTCTGGATTTTGATCACGTGACCCTGGGGGTGCTGCAAAGGTCATAAGTGTGAAAAAACAGTCGTAAATTCACCTTTTTCGAGCGCCCCTGTAACTTCAAATGGTCACTAAATGAACAGTTGTTAAGTCAAGGACTACCTGTATTCAAAAAAAAACCAAAAACAGAACCCAGTCCCCTGGCTAGGCCCCCTACTGCGTATCAAAGAATCCAACAGACATTTTGAAGGAGAAAGGAGGGCCGGCATCGACAGAGACGAGACTTTTTTTCAAGAGCCGAGAGTCCCCACAAGAAAGGCACAGCGAGCAAGTGACAGACAAAGGGCTCTGGGACAGGTGGGGAGGAGGAAGAGGAGGGTGAGGAGGCCAGGACCCTTACCTTGCTCAAGTATTCCTTCATGACCTGAATGAAGTAGGGCATGGCAAAGTCCATGATGTTGTGTCTCCAGGCGGTTTCCAAGACCACGTCGGGCCGGAGAAGATCGTAGCAGGTGAAGAGACAGGCGCCAAAACATTCCTGCTTGCCTTCCTGGAGGAACCACTGCAGCAATTCCTCCGCCAGCTCCGTGTCTTTGGACTCTGAGGCGTATTGCATGGCGTCCTGGGAGGGAGGGGAGGAGAACAAACAAGGTCCCATCAAGGACGGGACCTCGGCCCAACGCTCGGGAAGGACAGAGGAACCCACTGGCTCTAACCGTAGGCTGACTAGGAGTCCCACCAGATTCTCAAAGACGTCGGCCTGTTGGTCGCTTATTAACAACAGCTTTTAGACTTATACGCAGGTAGTCCTTGGCTTACGGCCACAGCGAAGCCCCAGATTTCTGTTGCCAAGCAAGACCTTTAGTTATGTGAATTTTACCCCATTTTTGTGACCTTTCTTGACCCGGTGCTTAAGTGAATCACTGCAGTTGCTATGTGACTCTGGCTTCCCACATTGACTTTGCTTGTCAGAAGGTCACAAAAGTTGATCCCGTGAGTCCGAGATATTGCGACTGTCATAAATATGAAACGGTTGCCAAGGGTCCGAATTCTGATTGCATGACCTTAGGGACACTGCAACAGTCGTTAAGTATGAAGATGGTTATAAGTCACTTTTTACAATGCTGTTGTAACTTTGAATGGTCACTAAGTGAACTACGATAAGCCAAGGACTATCTGTTCTGCTCCAGAGTGTTTTTACAGCCCTCTCTTAGCAGTCGACAGAGTCAGCCTCTTGCCCCCAACGATCTGGCTTCTCATTTTACTGACTTCGGAAGGATGGAAGGCTGAGTTGACCCTGAGCCAGTCAGAATCGAACCTCCAGGCTGTGGGCAGAGTTAGCCTGCAAGACTGCATCCTAACCACTGCGCCACCAGGGATGCTGAGCTCTTCCTGAACTCATCCACTGCCCCACCGCCCTTCCCGCTGGCAGATGCGGTTGTCCTTGGAACTCCAGTACCTTGTACAGTCGGTCTTTTTTGCAGAGTTCTACGCTTTGCTTCCAACGGTTGTTCCCTTTGAAGAGATAGGCGGCGATTCTCCTAAACTCAATCAGCTCATGTTTCTCCAGGCGCTGGGCGAGGGAGATGTTGTCGAAGTTGTCGTAGGCGTCTATCGATGTCCGAAGAGCCTGGACAGGTGTGACACAAGCCGGCACTGTAACTGAAGCTTAGGAAATGGCCACCCTACAATGTCTGAACATTGGGAGGTCGCCAGCCTGCGTCCCACCTTCTCCAAGCCGCCAGGCGCCTCGACCCGAATTCCAGGATGGGCCCCAGAAACTGTCTCCTACCTGGTAATCTTCTTCTGTAATGAAGAGGTTGTTGAGGGACTCATTCACTGATTTGTTATTGTGGTTCTGCACCGAACGCAGGTAGGGCTTCACCAGCGGAAGTTGCTTCACCTGTTCAGGGAACACACCTTCACTGTTAAGGCATCAAGCTAAAATCCAGCAGGAGGCGAGTTCTGCTCCTGCCTTAGGCATGAAAGCTGTCTGGATGACCTTGGGGAAATCACCAGGAGACAGTGAGTTCTAGTCCTTCCTTAGGCATGAAAGCTGTCTGGATGACCTTGGAGAAATCATCAGGAGACAGTGAGTTCTAGTCCTGCCTTAGGCACAAAAGCCTGCTGGGTGACTCTGGGCCATTCACCAGGAAGTGGCGACTTCTAGTCATAGGCATAAAAGATGGCTGTGTGATATTGGATCTATTACTAGGAGCTGGTGAGTTCTAGTTCTGCTCTAGGCATGAAAGCCAGCTGGGTGACTTTGGGCCAATCACCAGGAGACTGTGAGTTCTAGTTCTGCTCTAGGCATGAAAGCTAGCTGGGTGACTTTGAGCCAATCACCAGGAGACGGTGAGTTCTAGTTCTGCTCTAGGCATGAAAGCCAGCTGGGTGACTTTGGGCCAATCACCAGGAGACGTTGAGTTCTAGTTCCGCTCTAGGCATGAAAGCCAGCTGGGTGACTTAGGGCCAGGCGCTCTCTCTCAGCCTAACCCATCTCACAGGGTTGCTGTTGTCAGGAAAAAAGGAGGAAGAGGAAGTATAGTGTGCCAACTTAAGTTACTCAAAACATAATAATGGAGGGATATAAATAAATAAATGTACAAATTAAAAACTTCCCGAGAGCAAAGAAAGAAAAAAAAAACCTTTGATTGTTAAAGGATTTCTTACCTTACTAAAGAAATTGACTGCACGGGTATGATCCAGCCGTGGTGAAAGCACCATCAGTAAGTCGTTGAGCAGCAGAGGTTTAAATTCTAGGTAAAACTGAATCGCTTTGTAGTAAAGCTCCACATTCGCCACCTGTAAGGAGGACAGGCAAGAAGTGAGTGTCACTGTTGCACGTTTGCAAAAAAAAACACCTCCGAATGAGGGCGATGCAAGTAATGCAACCCCGCCCAGCCAAACTCACTCTTCATCAGACCTTGACATCGTCCACAGCCTCCCTCAAAGGGCTGCATTCTTGCGCAGCTGCTTTTAAAACCACCGAGTTAAGTCTGTATGGTTTGGAATTGCCTGGCAGCTCTATTCATTGGACTTCTCCATTTTATTGGGCTCATCACAGGTTGCCCACAGGATAAAAAAAAGGGGGGATAAAAGAATACATTCTCTGCACGTGCTCCAAGGGCTTTGGGGTTGAGTGGTTTCCTTGCTTCTAAGATAAATTGGACCGGGCTGGAATATCTAGTATTTCTATCTGGTGACAAGTGTTTCTCAACTGTGGCCACTTTTAAGACCCCACGAAGGATGGCAAATATACAGTATGTGTCCCAGGATGTTGCAGGATCCAATGAGGGCCATCACCAGGACCAGGGGTTTAGTCTTCCAAGGTTTCGGACTCGTGCTGAAGCCCCCATCCTCAGGGAACATCTCTCTGGCCAGAATGTGTCTATTCAATGCAACTTTAAGACCCTGTGGACTTCAACTCTCAGAAACCCCCAGTTGGCAAGAGAGACCCTCGTAAGATCACCCTTGAGAAGACTCTGGATATAAAGTTGAGGCCAGAACCAGGGGTGGCCTTCAAAAATATCAGCAACCCGTTCTGATTGTGCATGGCCATGGTGAGCCTGGCCTAGTCGGCCTCCTGCACCATGGCAGGGGGCCGTTTGCACCTTGCCCGGGCTCCGGAGGCTTTCATCGAACCTCTGGGAGAGGGAATATGGCTTCCCCTGGGCTCCGGAGGCCCTCTGGAAGTCAGAAATGGGCCTGTTTCCGGACTTCCGGAGCCTTTGAGAGGCCCATTTTTTGCCCTTCCCGAGCCTCCGTACAGGTCCTGCACTTATCTGACATCCAAACGGGCCACGTGGGGGGAGGGGAGGGGTGGGCGGGGCCAACCAGGGGTGGGATTTACGGTGCTCTGTAAAACTAGCTATGGGTTCGCCTGAATGGGGGCAAACTGGTAGCAACCCACCCCTGGCCTGAACCCATTTTCCACCAAGCAGGAACATCGGAAAGGAAACCTAAAGAAGTTACGCCGAAAAAGTTCTCCTACCTTAGTGATGATGTCCTTGAACTGCCCTTCTTTCCAGGCATCCGTGGGATGGTTCATCATCGTAATAATAGCATTATCGTATTCTTCGTATTTATCGTACAGGAAAACCAGCTCTCCCCAGAGGTGGGCTTGCTCAGCGGCCCTCAAAACCTAGGAGGAAGAAAGCATTTTGTGAACGGAAGCCGGATAGAGCAGGCCTCTCTAGCCCAACTAATCTATAGCGTGAGCTTCCGACATTAATCGAACATCCTCAAGGAACTTTTCCCAATCCAAATGGGGATCCTGTGTATTTTAATTTTGCAACCGGGTGGGCCAGTCAAGAGATTATGAGCAATGCTAGGAAATGTAAAGGCCCTGTTTCTCTTAAGATGGGCGTGTTGGGCATTGGGAGTCAGGACCTTCCACGGGGCAAAACAGATACTCTTCCAACAAATCGCAGGGTCACAGAATTGTGGAGTCAAGATAGGATTACCAAGGTATCTATCTAGTCTAGTCCAATCTTTTGCGATGTATAGAAAAAGAAACTGCGCCATCTGATCTGAGAGATGGCCGTCTAAGTCCATTCTTAAGAACTTCAGGAGATGGAACGCCCCAAATTTCCATAGGGGGGACTATTCTACTGTTGCCCAGATTGGAGAGTTAAGACTTTTTTGGGGGGGTTATCTTTATATGACATCTATGGAGCTGCAATTGGTACTTCGGATTTCTGAGCCTTGTGTCTGTTCTTATGGAAAAATGGTCTTGACCACCTTACAGACTATAGAATAACAGAGTTGGAAGGTACCTTGGAGGTCTTCTAGTCCAACCCCGCTGCTCAAGCAGGATACCCTATAACTGTGGTGGGGAACTTATGGCACACATGCCAGAGGTGGCATGCAGAGCCCTCTCCGTGGGCACGCAAGCCGTCACCCCAGCTCAGCTCTGCCTTGCATGCACGCGCACCTCCCACTGGCCAGTTGGCCTTTGGGTCTCTGCCACGAAAGTGCAGGGGCCAGAGTGCATGCGCAGGAGGAGGGGCGCATGTGTGGGGGATGCGCATGCACTGCATTTTGGGGATGCGCGTGTGATTTGGGCACTTGGTGCCCCAAAGGTTAGCCATCGCTGCCCTATAGCTTTTTAGACAAATGGCTATATAATCTCTTCTTCTTAAAAACTTCCAGTAATTGAGCATCCACAATTTCTGGAGGCAAGTTGTCCCGCTGATTAACTGTCCTCATTGCCAGGGAATTTCTCCTTTTATCTAGCTTGCTTCTCTCCTTGATTAGTTTCCACCCGTTGTTTCTTGTCCTGCCTTCTGGTGCTTTGGAGAACAGCTTGACTTCCCTCTTCTTTGGGGCAGCCCCTCAGATATTGGGAGACTGCTAATCATGTCACTCCTGGTCCTTCTTTTCATTAGGCTAGACATGAATTATCTCCTTAACATTCTTAATCCCCATAGCACTTTTGAATGGACCTGAATAGCAATAATAATGATAACAGCAACAATTTGGGTCCTTATTTTACCCACCTCGGAAGGATAGAAGACCGAGTGGGATTTGAACTGCCAAATTGTAGGCAGCTGGCTGCAGAAGTAGCTTGCAATACTGCACTCTAACCACTGCGCCGCAAAGGCTCCTGAATGTTGGTACCTTACCTATCAATTTTTGTCAGAATTAACAGACCAGGTTCCTGTAAGCTGTCCTTGGGTGTCAAGTCCCTAAATCATTTTTTTTTCATCCTCTGAAGGTGAAGGTCCCTCACAAAGTCTTCCCAGGACCTTCCCTTCCCAACTGTTTAACTGCTGCTGCTCAAGACCATTTTTATTCTCTGTCCGCACCAAGTTATCTACTTTAGCTAGTTCCTTCATGCAACCTTCTAAAGGTGGGCAGGTGGCTCTAAGTTCTATCCTCCAAACCAGATGATGATCAGTTAAAAAAAGTGTTACCTTAGGAATGTTGACCCGTGACCAAAACAGCTCCAAGTGCTCCCTCATCTTCTGTGGCTTGAATTTGGAATAGAGGATGGCCAGTTCGGTGAACATCCCCATATGGGCCCGTTCCAGCCCCAGAGCAGCTTCCAACATGGTTATCAACTCCTCAAAGTAGCCACGGTCCTTTCATAGGGGGGGGGAAAAGAGATAAAGGATGGAGAGATATCAATCAAGATTGTCCAAACAGCTGGGATTTTAACTCTTCCCTTGTACAGGTAAAATAGGGAGGACGTCAGCAACCGACAGGTGGCTCATTACCTGGTAGTAATTAATGAGTTCTTCCAGTTCATCGGCGTGCACGACGATATGCAAACCGCACATCTGGGCCAAGCGGAATTCCTTCCCATCGACACAGGCAAAGCAAACCTGAGAAGGGAAGAGGGTTGGAATTCTGTTTAGGAAAAGCGGGGGGGGGGGGGGGGGGAAACGAGGCATATAGTCTCCAAATTCTGTTGTGTATGCGAGCTGGAAATCTGAGGAACTGCACCTCAAACAGGAGGGGGAGGGGGGAGAGAACACAGAATCATAGATCTGGAAGGGACTCAAAAGGTCTTCTAGCCCTCAGGGTCAAATGGTTGTGATGGAGCACCCACAACTCCGGGAGGCAAAATATTCCACTGATTAATTGTTCTCACTGTCAGAAATTCCCCCCCCTTATTTCTAGGTATGATCTTTCTTTAACAAGCTTCACCCGTTACTTCTCCTGTTCTCAGGTTCTTTAGAAGGGGGGGGGGGTCCCCAACTGCCGGTCTGTGGCATCCCAGAAACTGGTCTGTGCAAACCAGCAAAGGCCCATCCATGGGATGCAGGCAGCATGTGAAACCACGTCTCCTCCGGTCCGCAGAAAAACCTCTCTCCACGAAACTGATCCCTGGTGCCCCAAAATTTGGGGTCCGCTGCTTTAGAAAATAAGTCAATCCCCTCTTCTCTGTCACAGACCCTTAAATATCAAAGGGCAGCTATCAGATAACAGATAATCAGAGTTGGAAGGGACCTTGTAGATCATCTAGTCCAACCCCCCACCCAAGCGGGAGACCCTACACCATTTCGGACAAATGGCAGTCCGGTCTTGGAAGTCTCAAGTGATGGCACTCCCACAACTTCTGAGGGCAAGGTATTCCATGGATGGACTGTTCTCCCTGTCAGAAAGTTTCTCCTTATTTCCAGGCTGAATCTCTCCTTGTTCAGTTTCCATCCATTATTCCTGGTCTGGCCTTCGGGTGCCTTGGAAAATAGCTTGACCCTTTCCTCTCGGTGGCAGCCCCTCAAATATTGGAAGACTGCTATCATGTCCCCACTGGTCCTTCTTTCACCAGACGAGCCAAGCCCAGTTCCTGTCCCTCCCTAAGCCTTCTCTTTGATAGGCTAGACATACTTAGTTCCCCCACTTAGTTCCCACATACGATTTAGCCTCAAACCCCCTATCGCAGGGGTGTCAAACTCAATTTCATTGAGGGCTGCATCATGGTTGTGTTTGACCTGTGGGGGGGGAGGGCGGGGGGGGGCGGCATTGCCAGCTCAACATCATTTGTGTCGTGGGTGCCTGTGGCGGCCCAAGCACTCCGCCAATGAAAACAGAGCCCGGGTTTGCTGGCAGAGGGTTGCGGGAGGCTGTCGCAACCAAAAATGGAACTTGGGAGGACCGTGCTCCGTTTTCACTGGCAGAGGCAGCACGGATCAGCCTTCGCTGTTCCCAGGGTGGCCCTGTGGGCCAGATCTAAGCACCCTGCAGGCCGGATTTGGCTCATGGTCCTTGAGATTGACACCCCTGCCTTATCGTCTTTGTCACTGAGAGTTGTAATGGCCCGCCTTGGCCACGAAAGCCAGCTGAGTGACCTTGGGCCAATGACTCTCTCTCAACCCAACCCCACTTCACCAGGTTGTTGTTGTGGGGAAAATAGGAGGAGCAAGGTGAGTTGGATATGTTTGCTTGCCTTGAGTCATTTGTAAAAATAATAAAGGCGGGAAAATGAATGAATGAATGAATGATGTATCACTTTTGATCAGGCATTTTCCTCCTTGTTGAGACACTCACCATCTTCTGAGGTGAAACCTGAAAGTTAGACAGGGGCCGCAGGAAGCCCAGAACTCACCTCTTTCCATGTTCTTGTGCTGTTTGCCTTCCGGGCTCCGTCAACCGCTGCCTGGTATTCACCCAAATGAACCAACGTGGAGGCCAAGCGGCCAAAATTGGAGACGTTGTTGTACAGAAGTTTGGCTGCATCGTACATCTTCTCCTCATAGCAACGATCACCAACCTATGGAAAGAAGAAGACGTTGGTGGGTCTGCTGTCTATCAGTAAAAAGAACAGCTGGAGTCCCCCTGCCCAGCTGTGCCACCGAGGTGTGGACCTGCTGGGAAAAGCCAGTCTTACATCATCCTGAAGGTACAGACTGGAAGAGTTCTAGTCCACCCTCAGCTGCAAAAGTGGACGAGGTCGGACCACTATTTAATTTACAGGATGGGTATCCTGAAGGAAATTGTTAAGTGTGCCGCCTTGAACTTCTGAATGAAAAGTTGGATAAATATATAAAAGATCTTTGATTATGGAGATCTCTAATCAGCTCACATGGTTTGGTGCTCTCTTCAACCGTAGAAGCTCAGTTGGACTCTTTAAGTCACTGTTTCTCAACCGTAGCAGCTTTAAGACATGTGGACTTCAACTCCCAGAATTTCCCAGCCAGCCATTGAAGTACATAGGTCTTAAAAGAGTTGGAAGTACTTAGGTTTTAAAAGTTGCTAGGGTTGAGAAACAGCTTTCAGACATTCACTTTTACCAAGACATTCAAATAAAGGAAAAATGCTATACAGGTAGTCCTTGACTTACAACAGAAATTGAGCGCAAAATTTCTGATGCTAAGCAAAAATGTTAAGTAGGCGGCAAGAATAACTGAGGCACAAAATTGGGAAAAAAAGGTAGTATGCCACGAGAGAAAAATGTGATAAAAAAAAGATACTAGAGTGTGCCAAGATGGATAAGTTGACCATGGAGATAAAAGACAGAAAGGAAAGAGATTATTATTTGATCTGGGATGCATTGTATGATTGGCTAAATAATAGATACAGAGATGAATAGAGAACATGAGAATAGGATAATAAGGCAAAGGTTATAGAGGACAAAGATAGATTAAGGAATATAGACAAATGTACAGATAGTTAAGATTTATGTAAAAGTATGTATACCGTCACGGAAGCGTTGCAGTGAATGGAAATGATGTTGTATATAAGAAAAATTGTTTAATAAAAAAATATATATTTTTTAAAAAAAGAGTTAAGTGAGTTTTGCCCCATTTTACAGTAGTCAAGCGCCTGGATTTTGATCACATGACCACTGGAATGCTGCAATGGTTGTGTGAAAAACATTGGTAAGTCACTTTTTAAAGTGCCGTCATAACTTCGGACCATCACTAAACAAATGGTTGTAAGTTGAGGTATTTCTGTATCTACCTACTTCAAATTCGTTCAGATCCCAATGCTTCTCCTCTTGCGCAGTTTGGCCTCACTCCAAGCATCTCCCCATTGCCTGCCAAATCTCTCACTCCTCCACCTGACTCCATCACCCCCTCCCTCTGCGCTCAGACCATCATTTGGCTCGGCTCCCACTACAGACCCTCCTCAAAATCCTTACGCTGGGTACCTTCAACTCGTTGCCCGAATCATCCCTGGTGTTGAGTGTGTTAAAGCTGCAACTGAACACATCCGGTCTAAGGATTCAGTTGTCCTTGTTTGTTCTACGTGTCCCACGAAGAGATCTGAGCAGCAACTACAACTGAGCTCCCTTCCCTACTTCCTTCTCCTTACAACCACCTTGTGAGGTGGTAGAAGAACCTAGGACTAGAGCTCAAGAGCGTAAGGGCAGTGTGATGATTTGAACCAGCTTCTTCCCAACACCGGTTCTCCCTTCCTCCTCCACCCCACCGAGGCTCCCAAACCCTGCACCTAAGAGTCTCCATCACATTAACAACCAGCAAACAAGGGGGTGGGGGAATGATAAACGAAATGCTACATTTGGGTGGCAATTCTTACCAACGTCACTCAGTCACCTTGTACGGGAGACAAGACGGCATAAAAATTTAATTAATAATAAATTAAAAGGGAGAAAAAAGCGACCGACTTTCCCAACCCTGCAGAGGGAGAAGGCAGAAGTCTAATCTGAGGATTAAGAAAAGCTCTTGACCTGCAGATTTAAAAAAAAGAAAAGAAAAACGCAGGAAGGAAGCACTCACTTGCTGAATGTGGGCGTTGTTGGGCCCGTTGATGAATTCTTCCAGTTCGGCCAGGCGGTTTGTTTTGGCCAGAGCAAAAATGAGCTCCGTCTCCACATAGGATTCCCGGGCCTTTCTGCGGGCCATCTGCAAGTACTTCACCAGCTCTTCCCAGTTGCCTAAATGGGGGGGACGAGGAAAAAAAAAAAGAGGAGGTGGATCAGCTCCTAGTCACATCGCAGAATCCATTTGTTCAGTCCCTATTCTCCGAAAAGAAGATAGGAGAGAAGGTTGTTAACCGTCATGGCAATGCCAGCCTCGCCGGGGCAGTGCTCAGCCAGGAATGGGAAGTGCGAGGGGGGAAGGAAAGAGAGAGGCACCCCAGCGTGTGCAGCCCTGGCGAAATCAACAAAGACTGAGCCATCAGTGTGCCGATTAATTTCTACTTTAAGCTCGGGCTGTGTGTGGAATTTTATTAGGGCCAAACAGTTGCTCATTCTTGCAGAGTGGAACACAACCTTCCCAAAACTGGGAGGGGAAGGAGGGGAGGGAGGAGAGGGGGGAGAAAAAAAGAATCAGGTCAGCCAAACAATCCACTTCTTTGTCGTTCACTCGTTATACTGGGCCTGCCTGTTCACACATCTGTTGCCGAATAAATTGTACTTCGCAAGTACACGGGCTCTTTTCCCATTGGAGAGGGGGACAACCTCTAGCCTGCGTCCAGACGTGCGCAGAGAAAGGGATCTGAAGAGGGAACCGTGTCGAATGGGGACAGTGACACTCGAAGTTGCATTGGCCTGGGGAAGGAGACAGGAAGAGGGGCAGTCAAAGTGCATGTTAGAAGCCATCTCTCGTTTCAGAGGCTTTGGTCACTTTTATGATCAACGCGAAGAAAACTGAGAAAGAAGGAAGAACCTGGTGGAAAGAAGAGTCAGTGGGATCCCCCAAGAGATATGTGGGTTCTTTGGTGCTCTCTGAGCTTGATTTCTTGTAGACCTTTCATTACCTAACTAGGCAACATCATCAATGCTAGAAGGGTGGGATTTGCTCTTTATTTATATAGTTGTGGCTTGCCCTGTCACTGTTGGTACGAATCTTCTTGGATTAACCTTATTAAGGGCATAAATAGTTCTAGAAGGCAGCATTTTAAGCCAAAATCAAGAACACAGGGACAACATCACATCAAACTGACAGGAGAGAAGTTCGAAAATAACATTAGAAAGTAGGACTTCACAACAAGAGGAGGCTTGGAACCAACTTCTACCAGAGATTGGTCAGTCAGTGAGTTTAACATGCTTGTGATAAAACACATGTCGTATCATCAGACAAAAAAAATAAAAAATAAAGGCATAAAAATATTTCAAAAAGAATAAACACACAAATTAAAAAGAAAACAAAAAAAAACCTCAAAGGGCAGACTTGATGGACTCCAGGAGTCTTTTTCTGCCATGATTTTTCTTTGATTCTATATATCAGTGGCTTGCCCAGAAAGTGTTGGTGGGCATGGTCTTGAATTAAGGCTGTGGTTTAATGTTTGTTTGTCTGATAATGGAAGGTCTACAAATAACTCACCAATCTCAGAGAGCACCAAGGACCCCACAAGTTCGACCCTGGGCTACAAATACAGGTCGTCTTCAACTTACAACAGTTCATTTAGTGACCATCCAAAATTACAATGGCACTGAAAGAAGTGACTTATGACCACTTTTTCACACTTATGACCGTTGCAGCCACCCTTTGGTCACTTGATCAAAACTGAGTCCCTTGGCCACTGACTCGTATTTATGACGGTCGCAGTGGGGTCACGCAATCCCCTTTTGCGGCCTTCTGACAAGCAAAGGCAATTATTGTACCCTGTGACTATCATTAAATGTTGTACCTAATGATTCTTGACGAATGTATCTTTTCTTTTTATGTACACTGAAAGCATTTGCACCAAGACAAATTCCTTGTGTGTCCAATCACACTTGGCCAATAAAGAATTCTAATTCTAAAATTAGGGAAGCCAGATTCACTTAACCAACCGGGTTATTAACTTAACAACTGCAACGATTTGCTTAGCAGCAGTGGCAAGAAAAGTCGTAAAATGGGGCAAAACTCGCTTCACAAACGCCTCGCTTAATTAAGGCATAAACGTTGGGCTCAGTAGTGGTCATACGTCGAGGACTTCCTGGATTCTCTTCTAGCGAGACTCTGCACAAACGTACAGATTCAGCTTCCAGCTCAGCCTCTCTCAACTGCTGGCTGAGAGTCCAGATTTTGTAAACATCAGATTGAAAAAGCTTGTCATAGCAGAGCCTTTTGCTCTCCATGGGAAACACCGCATAAAGGTTGTGTGTCATGCCACACCGCGGGAGTCCGATTCTGAGGGGGAGATTGAGCAACTGACAGGGAGTGGGAGTGTGGATCCAATGGCTGTGGAAGAAACGGGGGAAGGACACAGTCCGGCTGGGCATTCAGAGGAAGACCCAGGGCCATCCCCTCTTCATCCTAGGGCATGCAGGGAGGAACGGAGAAGGGAGCAAAGTGGCTTACAGGAGAGGAAAGGGCCCTGATCCCCTTCATGGGCTGCAGCTGGGAAGACTGTTTAAAAGAGGAAATCTGCACATTGCAAAGTTGGTGGAAGCAAAGCGTGCATTATTTTTGTCGAGGCTCATCTAGGTTTTGGCGTCCTCCCAACTGTGGGTGCTGCGTTATCTTTTGGAAGTCTGCAATTTATCATCCTGGCCTGTCGTGTTAATTACTTCAGCGTGGTTTGTGCTGGTTTCTTTTATTTCTAATTATCTTTACTTTGGACTGCATTTCTTTCCTTCGTAGACTGTTTTTGGGAAGAGTTTGATCTCCAGCCGAGGATAACCGGACATTGGGGACCAGGTTGGAGGCATTAAAGGGAATTTATCTACTTTGGTGACTTTGGTGTTTTTGTGCCACCCTCGGGTCATCATATGGTGTTTGACCTCATGGTGGGGGGAGGTGGATGTGGCCAGAGGTCACTCGTGTTGGGTGCACCCTTCCCAGGATCTGTTTTTGGCTGCAACAGCCTCCTGCAGCACTCTGCCAGAGAAAACAGAGCTCGGGAGGGCCGCTCCGTTTTCCCTGGCAGAGGCACGGTGGGCCGGTCTTTCGTTGTTTCCAGAGTTTGCCCTATGGGCCGGATCTGGCCCTCGGGCCTTGAGTTTCCTACCCCCGACCTACAGCCATGGGAGTCACATTTTGTGTTCTTGCAAAGGCTACTTCATGGGGAACAGGGGAGGGGGAGGAAGAAAAACAGTGCCCAATCCTTACCGCTTGCGTTGGCAGCCTGGACAACTTCCATGTAGGATGACGGATCGTCTGCTTTGATGTAGGAGTCGATGGCTTCCTTCACCATCCCTTTCTGGAGTTGGGCTTTGGCCAGTTGACTCCACACCGCAGGCTCATTGCAACGTTCGGCAAACTCATAGGCCCGGTCCAGGTTCCCAATGTGCTCAATCAAGACCTAGGAAAAGGGAGAGTGATAACTGTCGACCAGAGTCTCGCGAAGGTGGACTCAATTATAAAAAAAAATCCGAAAGAGCAGGATAAGACTTGACTTTAAGAATATTTTTTTAAAAATTATGTCTGTGACTCTCAACCTGCGGTCTGTGGACCCCTCAGGGGGCTGCGTATCAGCCCCGGATTGCCAGATGGCCAGGGGCTGCCATTCAGGTGGGGTAGGAACGCCCAGCTGAGAGGCGCGCGCAGGCGCACTGCTGGCCATGTTGGAATCCAATGAGATAGTCCGCTGTGCCTACCAGGAACTAGAGAGGCTCCTGCATTCAAGCTGAGAGGCGCAGAAGTTAGCAGCTGATTGTCAGAGAACAGCTGATTCTCGGAGAAATCAAAGCTGACTGTCAGAGACACTGGGTGTGGCTAGGCTGTAGACACCGGATTGTCTGCCAGTGGAAAGGGAGGGGGTTGGAACAAGGGTGGGGCAGAGCACGATATAAAGGGTTGGTGTAGTAATCATGGTAGCATGACCTAAAACTCTTTGATCAATGGTTGCTTAGTGCCGGATCCGCAATTTGCCAGTAAACCTTATTGCATCAACCTGTGTCACTGGTCTTGTTCACGCGGGACGTCGGAAAGTGACACTGTGATGCCATCACACGTGTGTGTGTGTGTGTGTGTGTGTTTGAAGGCTTGAAAAAAAAAGTCATGATTTAAATCTTGAGTTTTGGGGGACCGTGGCCCCAACGTATATGTATTTAAAATGGGCTCATGGTAAAAGAAAAGGTTGAGAACCACTGAACGACATCATTAGCCAGCCGGATGGAAGTTAGAGGCACCTCAAGCAAAGACGCTCGGAACCGAGTCCGCTTAACATATGTGGGTGAAGAAAGGGGGCAAACAGATTCCAGCCCTGTCTCGGAGCTTTTGGGGTCCTCTGAGTACAGTACTCTACTGAGTAGAGTACCAAAGGCGCTTTATCAAAAGGCAACTGGACTTTGTTGTTTTCCTTGAAGATGTTTCGCTTCTTAGCCAAGAAACTTCTTCAGTTTTGACTGAATGGTAGAGGATGGAAGGATTTATACTCCTTGCAGTCATCTGGTCGTTAGCATTCTCTCTGAGAGTCATTGAACTTGCAGGTTTATCTGTGCCCTTACGGTCACCTCAACAGTGCAAATAGGTGTGGAGCCTTCTTGGGACTGCTGAAAAGGACTGTGTTGTAAACAGGAGATAGGTGGTGTCATATCCTTCCCCCCTCTGTTGAGAGGGGGCTGTTCAATCTTAATGTCTTTGATCCCTCTTTCAAACCAGTGGGCCTCTTTGTCCAGAATGTGGGTTTTCCATCCTCCATCCCCAAGTGGCCTCAATGACTCTCTACAAAGGATGCAAATGACCAGCTGTCTGCAAGGCATATAAATTCTTCCATTCCCCACTATCTAAGTCAGAACTGAAGAAGCTATTTGGATGAGAAGTGAAAACGTCTTCAAGGAAAAAAAACCAAAGTCCAGTTGCCTCTTGAAAAAGCACCTTTGAGGAAGTCATGACCTGGATGACTGAGTAGAGTGATGATGATACATAGTTTGGTGATGAAATGTCTGCAAGAAAACTACAAAGCCCAACAAAGTACCAAGGACTCCGCAAAAAAGACGGCATCATAAATGCTAACTTCAGCAAAGACCTGATGGGTTGTAGAGGCGCACCAGGAGATGGCCGAAGATAAAAGCCACTTTTAGACATCGTCGGGCACATTGAATTCAGTTCTGAAGGGCCGGGGTTACCTGGATGGCAGAAGTGTTAACGTCAAATTTCCTAAAGATGGCAAAGGCTTCTTCAAAGAGCTCATTGCTGATGGCGATGTTGGCGATGTCAGGAGCATCATAGTTATCCAGGCGATTGATGTATTCCATGACCCGGGTGCGATCGGCCTTGATGGCTGTCAGAATGAGGAGGTTCTGGAGATTCCTTTAAAAAAAAAAAGCAATAAAAATGCAAATGGGTCATCATCATAAGCTGGAAACTTGCTGCACTTTAACAAATTTAAGACGTATGTGGACTTCAACTCCCAGAATTCTGGGAGTTGAAGTCCACACATCTTAAAAGTATCCAAGTTTGGAAACACTAATTTAGAGATCTTATCTTTGGTTTGCCTACTTTTAAGATTCTGAATAGTGAAAAGAAGAAAGTCACTTCTCCATATACAGGTAGTCCTCAACTTACAATTGTTCATTTAGTGACCATTCAGGGTTACAAGGGAAGTAGAAACAGTGACTTAGGACCGCTTTTCAGAGTTACAGCTTTAATCCCTAGGAACATGTGATCAAAATTCAGAGGCATTGCAACCGGTTCATACTTATGACCATTGCAGTGTCCCAGGGTCATGTGATCTTCCCTTCATGTCGTTCTGACAAGTGAACTCAATGGGGGAAGCTGGATTCGCTTAACAACCACAGTGATTCACTCAACAACCGTGGCAAGAAAGGGTCATAAAACGGGGCAAAACTCCCTGAACAACCGACAGAAACTTTGGCCTCAATTGTGGTTGTAAGTCGAGGACTACCTCTATGCAGGCATATAAAGACTGAAAGACAGGTAGGTAGGTGGGTAGACAAAACCTATGGACAGACAGAAAGACTTGACAGACACGCAAAGGACCAACCTGTGTTCGCTGAACACGGAATTATCCAGGACAATTTTCTCCAGCAGTTCAATAAGTTCATTCGGGAGGTCGGCGGTCATGAAAGCCTTGACGGTAACTGAGACCTCTTCGGGATCCTGAGTCTCGGAAAGAGCGGTCTGCACAACCTGCCAATCAAGGAGGTTGCAACGGTCAACCAAGTATTGCTTATTTCAAACTCATCCCACGTGAAAGCAAACCCAGGGGCATCAAAGCACGTACCTGGTCAATGAGGGGCCGCCGGTAAGGGTTGCTTTCCAACAGCACGCTGGCCCACAGTTCTGGATCCTTACGGCGCACCAGGTAACGGGACAGGCTCTTGAAGAGTGAGTTCTCATTGCAGACCTGGGGGAGAGAGGGGTTGACACAATAAGGGTGAGGGCCTCCTTTGGTGGGGGAAGGAACCAAGTTTCACAGTACCAGTGAATGGCAGAGAATCCCAAAGGTGCTTTTTTCAAGCACCTTTTTTTTCAAGAGGCAACTGGACTTTCTGGTTTTTCCTTGAAGACGTTTAGCTCCTTATCCAAGAAGCTTCTTCAGCTTTTCTGCTGCTGGAGAAGCGAAACATCTTCAAAGAAAAGCCAGAAAGTCTAATTGCCTCTTTAAAAAGCACCTTTGGGACAACCCTGAGCTGCATGGCTGAGAAGCTCCGTAGACAAATGGAAGAGAATATTTATAGTTCTGGGTTGGAAGATGCTCTCTGAGCTTGGCTGTTTTCTTACGGATATTATAGTTCATTGCCAAAGTAGGTAGCATCATCATCATCTAACATTGATGATGCTACCTAGTAATGAAACATCTGCAAGAAAATCCACCAAGATCAGAGAGCATCAAAAGTTTCATGACTCCATTTCTGAAAGCTGAAAAACAAAGGGGGAAAATAAACCTGCTGGAATTTTAACTAGTTTTGGAACAGGCTTTTCCTACAGGGCTCTGAGCAACTCAGTTCCCCACAAATGTACAAACCATGGGTAGCAATGGCTTCACGAGGAAGCTTAAAAGGGCCACAAAGAATGTTTTTTTAAAAAAGGTCTTTACAAAATGTACAATCACTGAGGCCATTATCGGCGCATGGGACCAACTGAAGAGAACATTTGTAGCTCAGGTCTCAATTGTGGTCGTAAGTCGAGACTCCATATACCAGGGGTGGGTAATCACAGTCCTTTGACGACTTGTGGACTTCAACTCCCAGAATTCCTGAGCCAGCCAGAAACCACGGCCCTTTGATGACTTGTGGACTTCAACTCCCAGAATTCCAGAGCCAGCCACGCTGGCTCAGGAATTCTGGGAGTTGAAGTCCACAAGTCATCAAGGGGCCGTGGTTACCCACTCCTGCCCTATACCAAATGGATTTCACAGCCTCAGAAGGAGGAATCAGGAATCTACTTCCCACCTGTTTTTGCCACCCTCTTCCAGGAAACTCACGTTGATCAGCTCCTGGTCACACTGTCCTCGCTCGTAAGCCACGCAAGCCAGATGAGGATCTCTCTTCTCACAGTATTTCCCCACCACACGGCTGTCATAATAAGGGTTCTCTCGCAAAAACCTTTCCGGGTTATTGTTACTATCGATGTAAATTTTAGCCAGGGCATTGTGCGTAGCTGGTTCTTCGCAACCCTCGTGGATTCTGGCCTCTAACCACGGCAGGAGCAGTTTCAACCTAAGGAGACAACAGGCATTTGGGTTGTAGAGAGCTCCCAAACTGGGGTTGTTGACTTCTAGGACTGGGGTGCTCAACCTTGGCAACTTCAAGACTTGTGGACTTCAACTCCCAGAATTCCCCAGCCAGCCATGCTCCAAGTACGTAAGGAGCTGGCAGGCAGATTTAAAGAAGAATCTGAAGCTACACTTCATATTTTTATGTATTTGTAATCTCGCTTTGTTTCTCTACCCAGTTGCTAAGCTTCAAGAAGCAATCACCTGCTACTGTATGGTTATAGCAACAGCATTTCACTGTCTTGGTCCCAGTGAAGACCCAGACTGCTACCAGCAAAATATTTTATGAGTTGACACTAGGGATGAAAGATTGGAGATCATGGAATCCAACCTTCTGTAAATTGCAGGAATCCTCAGACCACCTTGGACAAATGTTTCCCCTTTTCTTGAAGGTCTCCAGTGATGGAGCACCTGCCAACCTTCAAGAGGCAGGCTGTTCTACTGCTTTACAGCTTTCAAAAGTCTTTGAGGAAATAGCACTTATATACCATTTCACAGTACTTTACCACACTCTCTAAGCAGTTTATAGTGTCAGCCTACTGCCCCCCAACAATCAGGGTCCTCATTTTACCGGCCTCGGAAAGATGGAAGGCTGAGTCAACCTTGAGCCTAGGGAGATTCAAACTGCCAAATTGCAGGCAGCCAGCAGAAGTAGCCTGCAGTACTGCATTCTAACCACTGTGCCACCTTGGCTCCTATTTAAGTAGCATTTATTGGGAGAAAATTCACCCTGAGTAATGTCACAGGGGCCAAACTACAAAGTAAGTTCCAAGTCCCTACACCCATTTTTAAAATTGTGGCTTCCTCTAACTACCCTCCCCCATTTTTATCAAGGGACAATGAGAGTTCCCTCCAATCGGTTCCATGCTATTGCTTACTGGCGGACTGACAATCATACAAATAAATAAAACACAAACATAGCCACAACTGGTGGCTATTTATTCCACCAGTTGTTAGCCCTGGAAACTGAAACATATGATGAATTCGCAGGAAATTACCTGTTCCTTTTTTCCACTTCAGCGACAAGTTCATCCGTGGAGAACTGACCTCGCACCACCAGGATCAAGTTCTTGATGACGTCTTCAGAGCAGTCCACATCCAACAAGCCGCCAATGACCACCGGCAGACGACTCGGGTTCACCTGAAGCCATCATTCAAGTCAAGTCAATTTCAAGTCAAGGCTAGGCTAGTCAGCTCATTAGGTTGGATGCAGCTGCCCGCTCCAGAGGATTCTTATAAAATCCCTCCCAAAATAGCAGGTGGTGTTAAAACAGCAGAAGCCAAGCCTCCTGAAATTTCACGGGAGGGTTTGGTACAGGAAAAAGCAAGTTCAATTATGGAGCCCCTGTTAAGCTGCTAAATGTCACGGCAGCGAGGGTTTCAACCAAGGCCCGTGACTATGGTTTGATGCACAGGCATCCTGTGAGCACCACTTTGATGCTCCAAGAAGGCCTGTGCATCCAGAAAACATTCTTGGAAAATATGGAAGACGGTAGAGGCTATCATTTTTCAGCATGCCAGCTTTTTCCCTATTGTTCTTTTTTTTTTTTCCAAAATGAGAAGACTCTGAAAAACATAGGGCAGGCAGTCTGCCAGAATCCTAAGCAGTGTTCAGGACCAAATAGGAGGCATAAGGACACCACATTGAAGATCCAGCAGTAAATACACCTCTAACGAAGAGGCATTACTTCCTTAAGAATCTCCATTTACATTCTCCCGTTGAAATGTTTTACGCTGGAATGAGAGTACATGTTACTTAGGGTATGAATGCTGCTGGAAGGAAACCTTGGGGCCAAGGTTAGGCAGGGGAGGTATGTTGCAGACCATGTCAGTTAGATAAGATAAGCTCTATTGTCATTTTTTTTCCTGTGGGCACATTGGCACATATTAAAAATGAAATTCTGTTGCCTGATCTCAAAAGTGTACATATACATAACACACATACATAATACATATAACGCACACATATATATGCTATATACATACATTGGTATATACTAACACAACACACACACACACACACACACAAATCCCTGTCCATCTTGAATATATAGAGGAAAGAGGAAACTTACCTTTTGCACGTAGATCTCAATATATTTCTGAAGATTGTTCCTATACAGATACAGGACCAGGTCATGGACAAAATCAAAGCGGTCGCAAACAATGATCAGCGGGAGCTGGTCTGTCAGCTTGGCTTCCTGCAAACAGAAAGCAGGGATTTGATTGTTTATTTATTAAATTAATAATGGCTGTCTAGGGCTGCGCAACTCTACAGCAAAAAGCCAAAAAAGATAAACTGAAACATAATCACTTAACCTTTTAAAAACACTTACCCGATATATCAAATGTAAAATGGCAACCAGACAGTAAGTGACAAATCTTTGCATGGAAAAGCCCAAGAGGTCAATTAGCCAGGAACAGCTAAATTCCCATTCAAATCTCTCTCTTAAAAGGACACGTTTCAAAGTCTCAGTGTTTTTTCAGGTTCTTACATGGATCATTCATATTAAAACTATCCAGACTTTCCAGGCAGCTCAGGTTCCAGATAAGAGTTTTACCAAAAGCACAAGACCACAAAGGATTACAAGCCTAATCTAAACATCGGTATTTATCAGCTGCAGCAGTTACTGAGTGTGCAGGATGAACTCTGGGATTGCAAGAAATAAGATACAGGCGTCTTTTTCTCTCCCCTCCCGCAGGCTCATAAATTGCAGTGGTTAAACAATTCCCAGATATCCAGAGAGGGAAATTTTTGCCAACTGGAAACATATAAATGCTTTTCTAATTCTGCTTCCTAATATATGTATGTAGGTAAAAAGCTGGGGATACGGATACTCAAGATTGCCTTCATTTGAAAGGAAGATTGTTCACTTAATTAAATGAGATTCTTGCTTGTAAGCCAAATGTTTGAAGTGGGTGCTGAAATGTTTTTTAATCACTGAATTGTAACCAATGCAGCAGGATCTAGACCAGAGATGTCCAACCTTGGCAAGACTTGTGGACTTCAATTCCCAGATTTCCTCAGCCAGTTCTGAGAGCTGAAGTCCACAAATCTTAGTTTAGTTGCCAAAGCTGGATACCCCTGCTTTAAGCAGAGGAATGACTGTGACAAAAATTTCCTTATCTGTTTTTTTTTTTCCAATGGTCCCTCCTTAAGGGAGAATTTACTAGTGCTGGGTTTTTAAATCCAGACCTGACTTTTTCAATTCCCTGTCTGGGTTTCTAGTTTTTTACATTTTAACAAAATCTCCATTTTTTTTTTATACATTGCATCACACTGTATTAAATAAGTAAAACTTATTTGATTTAAAACTGTCTTTTGGGGAGTATTTCTGTGTAGAATCTGAGCTTGTTTCAACACGAAGTCTCAGGGTTTGTTTTTTTTTAAAGAAAACTCCTGCAGCAACCCTGTTGAAGTTCATTAAAAAAAAAAATGAGGTTCTTTTGACCGTTGTTCACACTTATGACCGCTGAAGCATCCAGACGATCACACCATCAAAATTCAGTTGCTTGGAAACTGACTCAATTTTATGACGGTTGCAGGGTCGTGTGATCACCTTTTGCAACCTTCTGACCAGCAAAGTCAATGGGAAAGCCAATCACTTAGCAACTGTGTTGCTAACTGGACAACTGCAGCAAAACGCACATTACTAGGGCAAGAAAGGTCATAAAATGGGACATAAACCCACTTAACCGTCTCACTTTGCAACAGAAATTTGGGGTCGTAAGTTGAGGACTACCTGTGTTGAATACTATGCCAAGGCTACCAATTAAGCCACGTCCCTGCATTGTTTTCAAGACGCAACCCCAGGAAGTTAACATTTCCTCCCTCTGGTGTCCTACAGCTGCATCAGGATTGCGCCTCCCAGAATTCTCCAGCCATAACACTATGCAGGAGTAGAGACCAAAGGTGTGAACTGATCAGCGAGGCCTTGAATGAAAAATTACCTGGTACATGTCCTGGATAATCCATAGACACCCGAACAGCACAAAAGACACATAGAAAAACGATGGACACAAGGAACGATTATTTGTAAGTTGTTGTCCAAGAAGACGGTTGGGTGAACTCGAAACCCTACCTACCTAGGCCAACCCTTCTGTCTGTTTCCCCCCCAGGCAATCAGAGTGAGTGGCAATTGCAATCTTGTGTATAATGGCTGCCCTTTCTCTGTTTTGTCATGTGGCCTTTTAAAATAACACCTGTAAAATAACACAAGCGATCTTCTGAATTAGTCCAAGATGCTGCTGCCCCTTGAGCACAAAATTATCTCTAGGAGCCCTCCATCCCCTGGTGATTGCCTGCTGTCCCTCTGCAGAATTCAGGGAAAAGTAGAGAAGACAGAAGAAACAGGAAAAGAGTATTTGTCAGGCGAGGTGTGGGGTCCCTGATGCTTTCTGAGGCTGGTTGTTTTTTGTTTTGTTTTGCAGACGTTTCATTATCCAACTAGGTAACCTCTTCAGAGCTAGAAGCGAGTGGGGTCCCATCAATACTGACAAGCTAGCCACTAGTTTATAAAATGAGAGCAAACCCCCCTCCCTTCTAACACTGATGATGTTACTTAGCTGGGTAATGAAGCGTCTGCGAGAAATTCACCAAGCTCAGAGAGCACCGAAGATCCCACAGAAGAAACAACATCTTCCTTCAGAATATACTTACTTCACATCTCTATCCAAGGTGCAAAATATTTCTTACAGGTGTGCATAAAGACTACCTATTCTCATAAGTGGTTCTTTACAGGATTTGTACAAAAATTGATGATCCAGATTTTTCTTCCTGGAATTCTCACCAGACAGGTGAGAACGCCTGGTGAGAATTCAGAAGGGAGCTGAATCAAGATCCCTTTTTTTCCCCTTTTTATTCAGGAAGGAGGGCATCATATCTGTCCATAGTAGAGGCGTCACTGATTTAAGTGCACTGAGGATGTTTCCTAGTTGGGTAATGAAGGTGTGCAAGAAAGCAACCAGGCTTAGGGGCCACCACGGATGCCATATTTTCAGATTTGACAATCTGAAAGCTGGACTTGAGTTTTCTCATGCTGTTGCACGAAATAGCTGCTCAGAGACCTGCCTGAACATACATAAGCTCAACCAGTAAATAAGTAAGCTAAAAATAAATGCTAAGGTCAAGCCTTTAGCCCTGGCTTGATCCAAAAAACAAGTCACCTAGATCTGTAAGACTTAATGCATGAACCAGGGGTAAGGTATAGAATCCTGGAAACTTGCAAACATACAATAAAACCAAAACTTTGCAGCTTTTATTTTATGAGTTCAAATATGGGGCTTGGGATCTCTTCTCCCCAAGCAACCTGGTCCAACCTGATCTTTAGGCTAACAAACCCCTATCCCATCTGTGGATTCAACCAGGGTTCTTTAGATACCTCCAGCCTCTTCCTGGTCCAACGTTTTTCGAACTTGTCACGATGGGTGAATTCTAGGAATTGACGTCCACCCATCTTAAAATTACCCCAAATTTTAAACACTGCAATAGTCTCACCACTTAGAAAACCAATACGGCCTTTAGTATAAGTAAGGAACCCTGACATAAGGTCCCCATATGAAAAGTGGGGGGGGGGGAGGGGGGGAGTTGTCACTCTTATCCCGTTACCTTGAGGAAATTCTTCACACGTTCTGGATCGTAGCAATTGCTCTCCCTGCAAATTCTTTCCACCTCTTTAATTTGGCCGGTCTTACAAGCAGCTTGGATGTATTTGAAGTGCACGTCCGGGTCTTGACTGAAGTTAACAATAGAGCCCAAGAAGTAGAAGAGACCTTAAAGGGAGTGGAAAAGAAAAGGAGTCCATCATGAAAAGAATTTGTCAGAAATCTCTGGCAATGGAAGTAATGGATTTTGATAGGTAAAGGTAAAGGTTCCCCTCGCACACAAGTGCTAGTCGTTTCTGGCTCTAGGGGGCGGTGTGCTCATCTCCGTTACAAAGCCGAAGAGCCAGCGAGCGCTGTCTGAAGACATCTCTGTGGTCATGTGATCAGCATGACTAAATGCCGAAAGTGCATGGAACGCTACTACCTTCCCACTAAATTGGTCCCTATTTTTCTACTTGCATTTTTTTACATGCTTTCGAACTGCTCGGATGGCAGAAGCTGGGATAAGTAATGGGAGCTCACTCCATTATGCGGCACTAGGGATTCGCCAAACTGCCGACCTTTCTGATCGACAAGTTCAGCGTCTTAGCCTCTGAGCCACCGTGTCCCTAGCAGATTTTGGTAAGAGGAAGAATATTTGTAGCTCAAGCCTGAAATGAGAGGTCCTTGGTGCCTTCTGAGGTTGGTTGTTTCCTTGCAGACGTTTCATTACCCAACTAGGTAACATAATCAGTGCTAGTAGGGAGTGCAGCTGTGCTCTCATTTTTATATTGTAGATGTTACTTAGTTGGGTAATGAAATGTCGGCAAGAAAACAACCAAGCTCAGAGAGCACCAAGGACCCCACACTTATATTAGTGAACTTAGATTAACTGATTACATTGCACACAAATGCCTGTTTTTGGCAAAACCATCATAAAATGCAGTCACAAGCCTGTGGGGCACTGCAAACAGCTGTAAATGTGGGCGCGTTGCCAGTGGCCAAATTTTGGTCATGTGACTGTGGAGGGGGCCTGACCGTTGGAACTTCCAATCTGGGTCGTAAGTCCCTCTGTTTTTTTTTTTTTTAACCAATTGTAACTTTGGTCATTAAGCAACCAGTTGTAAGTCAAGATCTACATGTAAAGCATTACATAGGCTACCTATTATACTGAGTTTTGAGAATACTAAAGGCAGACACAGCCTCCAGTCCAATCCTTGGTTAGTCACACTTAAATCCACAGACAATGATCCAAGATAAATATTTCTCCAAGGAATGTTGAGGCCTCTTGGAGTGTTATCTGTGCCCTTGGGGTCACCTGAACAATGCAATGGGTGTGGAACCTTCAAGCAGCCTCAACAACTCTCAGAGATAGTGCTAATGAGCAGATGACTGCAAGGAATATAAATCCCCCACCATTCAGTCAGAACTGGAGACGCTTCTTGGATGAGAAGCAAAACCTCTTCAAGCAAAAACAAAGAAAGCCCAGTTGCCTTGTGAAAAAGACCTTTGGGGACAAAGGAGAACAGCTTCAACTGGGCAGTGATGGCCACCATCTTGACATGCCCATCCACTGGTTTCTACCAACCAAAGAGGACAACTTCTTGACCCGATGACTTCAAGAAACGCGCTCCTCTCAATGGACCAGGGGACAGTCAGAAGGAACCAAGGCAGTGAGAGACATGGATTCAGAACTTGGGAGTACGGTGTGGGAACCCAACCAACCTACCTTCAAAACTCTTGAATGACTCAAAGAGCTCAATGAGCGACTGGGTTGAAAGCTGCTCATGGTACTTGGAAGCCACCTGGACGCAGATCTGCAAGTTCTGGCGGATGTTTGCTGACAGCATCGCCCGCAAGCATTCCAAGGAATCTTCCACAGAAAGGGAGCCGAAATAGTTCACCAGCCACTGCAAGCGAAAGGAGCCATTAGAAAGGACCTCATTTTTTTCTTAAGGTTCTTCATGGCAGAAATATGCAGACCTGGGGTGATGTGTGAGAACGGCCTTTCCCAAGAGGAGAGAAGCTTTACAGCTGCGATGGGAGTTTCACTCCCAGAATTCTCAGCCAGGATCGGCAATGGTAACTTACTGCACAGAGCCACTTCTGGTGAGATGGGTGCCCATATAAGTATGATCAAATGTCACCTCGATCCCCACAATTGAGGAGTGGCTGCAAAAACTGATGGAGTTAGCAGAGATGGCTAAATTGACTATTTTGATCGAAGGAAAAAATATATAAATACTGCCAACTTGTAAAATATTCCTATACTGTTTCCAAGTTGGCCTTAGTTGGGCGGGGGAAAGGACTTGGAGAAGCATACAGCAAATGAATTTAGAAGCACATTCCAACTTTATCTTAAAAAAGATTGTAGCTAAGCGGCTGAAGCTTTTGCCCGCAAAAAAACTTTAATTGGAGAACGTGATGGATGACACTTAGCCCGTGTGCATGCTTAATTGGAGAAAGTGATTTATGGCACACCCAGGGGGGGAGGGGGAAGCAGGGTCACAGGTGACTGTAATTATGTATGCCAGAATCGGCTTCATACAGGTCATGCCAGTATGTCGCTCCTAATGGATTCTTGGAAGTTTTTTTTGAAATTTGGCTTAAGGCTCATGATTTAATTAATCATGATCGCTGGAATCCTGATGAATACTTTCATTTCTACTTGGAAACTGCTTCTAGATTTTGTGCTGGAGGTGGAAAAATGGAAAGTTTGATTTTGGGTTTTACCGATTAGGTGGATTTGTTGTTATAGAAATGGCTATACTATTATACTATTAATGAAAAATAAAAAGTTGAGGTTTGATGTTAATGCCTTATTCTACTGCACCAAAAGGAGTCAGAAGTCAATACCTTTTTCTTTTCTTTTTCCTCTTTTCTTTCCCTCACTTTTCCCTTCCCTATTTTCCCTAGTATTTACTTTTGTATTTTCTTTGTATGCTGTATTATAAACGAATAAAAACTGCTTAAAAACGTACGTGATTAAATGGGTTGATTGGAGCAATAGCATTTCTGTTCATATACCATCTCCCAGCATTTTACAGTATTCTCTGGGTGGTTTACAGAGTCAGCCTCTTGCCCCCAACAATCTGGGTCTTCATTTCACCAACCACAGAAGGATGGAAGGCTGAGTCAACCTTGAGTCCCGTCAGGATCGAACTCCTGACAGTGAGCAGAGTTAGCTTGCAATATGACATTTTAATCACTACCAGAGCTCTTGGTACCTTGCTTTTCAGAAGCTGTTAAAACCAAGCTCTTTCATACTTCTTTTAGGGTGCAAAAATAATGCCATTACTTATGGATCGAAGGCATACACTTTGAAGCTTGGCTGGATTGTTTGTATACTTTAATTTTTACTTTGCTGAGTTTTATTGTCTTTTGTCTTGGATATAAACAACCAAAAATTTATATTGATTGTGGTAGAAATAAATTAAATAAATATGTAAGTTTGTGCATTTGGTGCACAGGCAGTCCTCGGCTTACAAGCATTCCATTAGTGACTGTTCAAAGTTACCATGGGAAAAAAGTGACTTATAACCAGTTTTCACACTTACGACCATTGCATCACATGATCAACATTCAGACACTTGGCAACTGACATGTATTGATCATCGTTGCAGTGTCCTGGGGTCATGTGGTCCCCTTTTGAATAGAATAGAATAGAATAGAATAGAATAGAATAGAATAGAATAGAAT